TAAAAAAAAACCCTAACCCTAACCCTAAGACGGTGGTGAACCCGACAGTCTGGATAGCCAGCCAGGATTGAGGAATGGGGAGGTAAGCGACAGAGCAGGTTTGCAGGTATTATAGTAAAATCTTTGCATAGAAGCCGGGCTACGAAAATGCCCTCGATGGCCTGTGAGCTGTTTCTATCCTTTGATGTTCATTTTTTGTATTGAGAAAATATTTAGTGGTAGTGAGCCGTGCATTAGGATGTATTGTATATGATCTCCTCAAGGTGTAGATCAGGTGACAGAAGGAAGATGATGAGAAAGTCAGATGAAGAAAGTCTAGGCTGACATAATCAATACCGGTCAACTTTGCATCGTACTCTGGAAATATGAAACATCAATTAATGCATGTCCCTCGGCTACGTTGCATTTTGTTTCCATATTTCGCCACTGGTCCGAGAGGCGGAGCATCTTCCGTTGAGCCGGAACTGCCACCTACTTTACTGGGTTTGGTGCTACCGTCAAACGTCCTTATCTACCGTCCGTGCCTGCTTTGTGGGGAAATAATCCCGAAGACTGGCATGCGCCTACAGATTGCTGCTTATTATGCTACCATATGTATACGTCAAATATGGTCCAGGGTATCCGCTCACAAGAGCTCCCGGGTTACCGACCGGATCTACAACATTATCGGTTAATTGATTACCTCAAGCTGACCAATGAAAAATGTCTATGTTCAACCCAGTAGGCCCTGACCAAGCCTTACGACTCATCAGATGTCGGACAACCCCAGATGAGGGACTTTTGTCATTTTTCACAGGATGCGACAGGGAGTACTAAGAAAAAAGCTGTTGGCTCCAACATCAGCTCGGTAATGACGAATGTCTCGTGTGCCAGGATATGAGTCAAGCACGAATCATAATGTAGTGGAGCATGCCGTATGCGTGAGGCACGGACTGTCAGGATCAGGGGAGCCAAGTCTTTAATAGCCAAAGATATCGGCCCCCCAAACGCTTTCCGGGGCGAAAGCCACCAGATACATGCACAAGACGTGACATGAGTATCATTAGAGCAAATCGTACCCGAGCCCTGATTATTGTTGCGTGCGTCACCTCGTCGATTGTTGGAATCATCCGGTTTACGTGTATGCATCAATCACCATTGCACTCAAAGAGGGCTTCCAGGAACCGCTGCAGCGTCTACCCGACCACTAGTGGTTTTTGATTTTTTTTTACAAGACTCATAGTAACTTTCCTCAAATGAGCACCTCCGTCTTCCATATTTGATAGTTGGCAAACCATCCCATCCCTTGTTTCACAATCCCGCTTTCCATCTGACCCTAGCGAGCGCAGCTGCTTGGGAATTTCAGCATTTCAGCTCTTGGATGGTCTGTCCACTTGTTAACTTCAAGCATCGGGTCTATTACCTGGGTGCAAGCGCATACCTAGCGATGGAAAGTAGGGTGTCTATACTATCATTTGCGGAGAGGGCTTCCCTAAACCTCTGCTTCTGTTCTGGGCCAAGGCCGAGCTGCTGCATGGTTGACTTGATGTCAGACGTGAGTCGTGACGATAAGTTCCATTGAATATATACTAGCAGAACCTTGATGTACGTGGCGGGGTCTTCCGAGGTAGATGGGAGATTGACCGAAGTATCCTTGGCCTGTGTCGTGAAATGAGTCGGGAGCGACTGTGTTGAAGGCGGCTGCGAGGATAATGATTGTTGCGATGTTGATGATGATGACTGTGGCTGGGACTTGGAACGTATGAAGTCGCCCGGTAAAGAAAACATCTTTCAAGTGCGGAGGTGAAAACGATAATAGTGATAATGTGTGCTGACCCGTTTGGATGAACGGTACCCTTCCAGTAGCGGGGGCTTATAGACAGTCTGTGTTTTGTTCTTTGGAGGACGTATGCTGTATAAGGGTTGCTGTTTAGAATTTGGATGTTGTTGCTCATGTGACTCGATGTTACATGCCCATGTCATCCAGTACCCTGCCTCCTTGGCACAGTAAGTAGCTAAGAGAGAGCACCATAGGTGTCAAAACACCATGGCAGAAGTAAGCATTCACCAAACAGGCATAATAGGTCAAAATAAAATGCCTTGTAATCTGAAAGTAAGATCAAGAGCATATATCATAATCTAGCTTGCGGTATGACATACGCCAGAGCGATAAGCAGGGTCACATCCGGCGTTTGACTTGCAGGTTGTTCGATGTCGCAGCAGTAATCAAACCTGTCGAGTCACTGCAACGCTGATACATACCATGCCGATTGGCGATACTGTGGATATTGATTACATTAATGGAATCATGATGAGGACAATAAGGGATTGAGACTACCATAAGAGCTGCCATCATAATCATTCAGCCATCAAGGCAGTAATCAGAGTAAGCCGCATAATCACCAAAGACCAGGTATGTAGATAACTATGATATCAATGTGAGCACCCGAAACACTTTCCAAAATCAAGGATGATCAAACAATTGGTTGGTTCAATGTCTAACTCATCATGCAGCAGTAATGTCATCCTAGTCGGCAAACGTTCCATCCGGCGTTGTCGGACCCGGCCGTCGGGCTGCAGTGCTTTCCAATCGGCGCTTCTTAAATAAGAGACGCTGTGGTCTTCCTTTACATACGGTGTAACGTAGTTAGATATAGTGAATACTTGTGTTTATGCTGCAGACGCACAACTTGGCCGAGACTGAAGCGATACTACCAAGATGACGACTGAGTGGTCTAACCTCGCAGACCTCTCACATTTTCCCACCACGGAAGAGGAACGAATTCGGCAGATCGAGCATCGACTAGAAGCGATGGAGAAGAAATACGACCCCCTCCTCGTCATGGGACAAAGAACCACCATGCTAGAGAAGAGAGTTGACTTTGTCGTGGAGTGCATTGGACGCTTCTTCGACTCTGTGTCCGTCGTCCCACCAAGACTGTGTGATTAGACTGACCGGATGGATAGGGATAATACGATTGAGTTTTGCAAAGCACAAGGTGCTAAGCTTCGGTCAGGAGGAGGAGGAGGCGGCGGAGGAGGCTGATGACGATGAAGAGCATAGCAGTGCAAGAAAACATAGGTACAGTAAAGATCAAAATCGGTTGTCCATCTGCAGACTCTCTTTGTTTTCTAGCGCACGGACCAAGCTTATGGTGTGTACATAGTGATCGCTGCTTTTACTGTGCTTGGTGTATCCTGACAATCAAGCTATAATCCGGCGACCCACAGTAATGCTACTCCACAGCCTGAAAGCTGCTTATTTCACTGAGGACAATGCATTCCTGCACCTCCCACCGTTTATTACCACTACGTGGGTGGAAATTTGATGCATCATCAGATAGACTGCATTTCCTCACTCACGACGGATGCCTCAGAGTCCAGTGCACATTCACTGCTACGGCATAATGATGCATAGTATGGTGTTATTACAACACGGTCCTATAAATATAGTTCTGTTCATGTAGAGCAAGACGTTATGGACACGAGCTGCTTGAGCTATCCAAAATTTCACGACAGTACTCAAGATTTTGCTCTGACACCAATCGACTTGGGTGACTTGGTGACATTATTTCCCTCTTCCTTGCTACTACATACTTAAGCAGCTTCACTGCTTCTGCAACCTATCTGTTGGCTTAATATGCTCCTGCTAGTGCATGCTGTAATGCCAGTCGTGATAGGTAACTCTCTGCTAACGTCATCTCTTTAACTCTAACTATATACTTAAGCAGCTTTACTGCTTCTGCAACCTATCTGTTGGCTTAATATACTCCTGCTAATACATGCTATAATACCAGTTATAATAGGTAACTCTCTGCTAATGTTATCTCTTTAACTCTAACTATATGCTTAAGCAGCTTTACTGCTTCTATAACCTATCTATTGGCTTAATATACTCCTGCTATTGCATACTATAATTCTAGTTGTGATAGGTAATTCTTAGCCAACGTCATCTCTTAAACTATAACTACATACTTAAGCAGCTTTACTGCTTCCACAATCTGCCTATTAGCTTAATATGCTCCTGCCAGTATATGCTATAATGCCAGTCAATCTAGATGACTCTCTGCTAACATTATCTCTTTAACTCTAACTATATACTTAAGCAGCTTTACTGCTTCTATAACCTATCTATTGGCTTAATATGCTCTTGCTAGTGCATACTATGATGCCAGTTATGATAGGTAACTCTTTACTAATATTATCTCTTTAACTCTAACTATATACTTAAGTAGCTTTACTGCTTCTATAATCTGCCTATTAGCTTAATATGCTCCTGCTAGTATATACTATAATACCAGTCAATCTAGATAACTCTCTACTAATGTTATCTCTTTAACTCTAACTATATGCTTAAGCAGCTTTACTGCTTTTATAACCTGCCTATTGGCTTAGTATGCTTATGCCAGTTCGTACTGTAATATCAGTCGATCTAGATAACTCTCTGCCAATATTATCTCTTTAACTGCAACTATATGCTTAAGTAGCTTTACTGCTTCTGCAACCTATCTGTTGGCTTGGTATGCTCCTGCCAGTTCGTGCTGTAATGCCAGTCGATCTAGATGACTCTCTGCCAACGTCGTCTCTCTGACTGCAACCACATTTCCTAGTATGTCCACTGCCTGTCTTGCCTTTCCATCTACATGCAGACATCGGCCGACCCAGTATCCCAGCTTATATATATCTTCGCTCCCGTCACTATCCATATTTGTAAGGACCCGGAGCGCATGCGGTAGATGCTGCCGCCACACCTCACGATTCTCCCAATCATCGGTTGGAAATTGCTCAGCAATACGTGCCAATGCCAACTGTTGTATTCCTTCCTCACGACCCTCGTCTTCGTTCCATCTCCGTGTGGCCAAGTGTACGAGGCTATGCATATCGAACATGTCGCCATCTTCCCGTTGACTTAAAAAGCTATACCCGCAAAGTGTGCCGATGGCGCGTGCCATGCTTTGTTCAGTGCCTAAACGGGGTAGTAAGGTTCGGGGTATCGCTTTCGGTTCGATGCATGCTGCGAACGAAAGTAGCGTCGCAGCTTCCTTATGTAGGGCACGAATCTGTTTGAAGGATACAATCCAGGTCGAAATAACCGCGCCTTGAGCAGCATCGTAGTGGGTGCCGTCACGAATTCCAACACTGAGCAGTTCCACCATATCCTGGTCAGTGTTCTGAAGTAGTCGCATATACTCTTTGATTGAAATTCTGTTGATTGTCATATATGCTGATGCCTGCGTGATTGCGAGCGGCAGATAGGCGAGCTCGTGTAAAAGTCTGTCGGCCAAGTCTGTGTCCTGCATTTGATCTCTCTGTATTAAGGAACTCTGCAGGAGGGTTCTAGCATCCTTTTTATCCATCTCAGATAGCTCAAGGATGTTGGTCTGCGCAACGGTAACGGCCACTTCACGAGAACGTGTTGTGAACAGAACATAACCTTGCTCGCAATCTGGAATATAATCTGCAATTCCTCCTGGCTCCTGGGCCGTTCCATATAAAGTCTTCATGTCGTCGGCATTATCAATGATGAGAAACCACTTTCCCGCCTCTTTCGAGCTGAGAAAGTCCTTGAATGTTTCTTTTGGGTCCTTATTGTCGGTATGCTCGATGTCAAATACTTCAATCATTCTAGTACAGGCCTGCTCAAAACTTGCCATGCTCAGTGCGGGCATCCAGATGATGGAGTACTGCTGGTGACTTTGGTTGTCATTCTTGACAAGGTGCGCAAGCTGAAGCGCGATCTGCGTCTTGCCTACACCACCCAAGCCAACGAGAGCGGCTTGTTGGCCACCAGGACGAGCAAATAGAAGCTTCTGAAGCACAGCGATGACTCCCCCGCGTCCTACGAAGTTCCTGTTTCGGGAAAATGGAAGGTAATGCGTCCTAGGCTCTTTTTATGCGTGAGTTAGAAGGTGGCAGAGTGATGAACGGTCTGATTACACTAACTAGTCTTTGAATGCCTTCGCCCAACAGAACAATTACCTGTCCAAGCGTTGGTCTCTGGTTGGATTGTAGTCAAACCTGGAATTGCCACTTCAGCGAAAATATTTTGTGAGTAAGCTCACCCGCTGCTCTTACCGATCTCCGATTTCCATGCTGTGAGTTCTCCGACGACCCTTTTGAAACCAGTCTCTTCTGTAGACCCAAACTTAACCATGTCTGCATGATTCGCATGGATGGTAATTGGATCATAACCCTTAAATGTGGCTGATTCCTTTGACACAACTTTACCCACCATAGATAGAGGTAGTTCCTCGAAGAAACAGGCGACCTCTAACTGCCTTCCCGCCTCACGCTGCTCTCGCATTATAGATAGAAATCTGACATGGATAGACTCGAGATATTGATTGTTGGTTTCTAATACCTCAAGAAGTGATCGGTTGGTGGACTTAACCAGGCCCAGAGCTTTGGCAGGTATTCCCGACCAGTCAGCCATCCACGAGCCCTTGTGGGGCGTGCCCATGAAGACAACGCCCTTGATGTGTGTGAAGAAGTCTTGGCGGGAGCGATTTGGATTATTGCGCGATAGCAGTATAGCTTCCTTGCAAACAAGACCACCTAGGCTATAGACGACGAAGATGAGGGGACGGCTCGAGGCATTACGACGCCGTCGGTCGTTTGTGAGGTCGGTAACAAGATTCATGGCATAATCGATGAGTCTATTGGAAGACGCTACCGGCTTTGACACTACATACGCATCGTACCCGTATGTGAGTATGCAGGCTTTGGGTAGCTCGGATGGAAGGAGCGTCTTCGGCCAAGGTGCAGGCTGCCCACGCGCCGTCCAAGTGCTGGTACGGTTGCCTGTCAAACCATGAACAAAACAGATGTCGACGTCGGCATCCGGAGGATTGACTAAGACCTCGACACCGTCTGGAAATAGAAATATCGAAGACTGTTCGAGAGAGCTAGATTGCCCAGCCGATAGTGCAAGATCGAGATTTGCGGGTTCGCTCTCTGTTTCTCGTTGCTGGATAGGAGTCGCTGATCGGCTTCTTAACCAATGACGGAGTTTCCCCATACTTCAGTGTAGGTTACTAAATCATATACGTATTAAGAGGAATAATTAATTGACACAAATAGCTGTCAGGCGGGATCTTTGCTGAGGTAACAGATATCTGCTCGCTCTGGAGCGTTTATTAAGGGAGGATTCGGAAGGAAGTAATCGGGCAGGGTAAGTTCAGCTTTGCCTTCTAAAGTGGGGTTTTATAGGCAGGCCTCCATGCTTGTGGAGTAGCATGGGATTTGTAACCAATTATTCCTAGCAGGACTCCGCCAATCGGGGTTTTAGTGCGAGCGATCGTGATGCTGGCGACGCAAGCCAAAGCAAGCCCAACATCGAGACGACTTGGCATATCGTCAATTATCGATCAATTCGATGGCTGACATGCATTACGTGAAGAGTCTATTAACATAGAGCGTGTCTATAGTTTTAGACCCATTGTAGGGAGTTTAGCGTTCGGTCAAACATAATAACACGCCATCTTTACGACTGCAAAATTTAGAGAATGATCAGAAAACATTGGATCGCGGCCCGTCCCTAGCGTCGCTTCAAGTGTACCTAATTAACCGAACTGGTGTCATAAAGTTGCGACTCAATCACTTAGCTAATATGATCGGATAAACCTTGAGACAATCATCAAGGGAGAGACCGCCTTTTGCGGAGTCCTCGGAGACAACATCCTGTCAGAAGAAGCACGAAAAGGCGGAGGTACCTAAGCTTGAGCATAGGTTTGTATAATAGAGTAAGTGGACACCAGGAATAAAAATTGGAAGCAGAAATTAAATACACTTTGATGGCGTCGCCAACTGGTGCAGTTATGCATCGGCTCCAGTAGATTACACAGGGAAAAGATCAAATCCCCAGCCCCGGCTAGGCACGAAATTTTCTTCACTCGTGACTGTGAATTAGCCTTATCAAGAGCGGGTCTGTTCTCAATCATACTGTGCGAGATCCCTGCAACGGTGAGAACCTTCTTGCAGGGCTGGACCACGAAAAACATCTAAAAATATAAAAAATCACAGTGGCTCTAGGGTAAGTCCAATTAGAGAAGAAATTATGACGCAGTATCGCAAGCTATTTTAGGTACTTATCAAGTAAATAATTGAACCATAGCTTTGCCAAACTCCCAATGTCGTTCCACGATGATTGTAGGCCGTAATCTAAGGGTGATGGATACGAATCAATTAGAAAATGAAGTTGGTCATTTAGATTCTCCAGTTCTTAAAGATGATGTGTTGGGTGTATTCCGATCTAGGTGAAGTCGTTCATCAAAGGGCCCACAAACAATGCTACTGGACTGAAAGTAGTGGAGCACTGCCGCGTCATAAAGGGCTTTTTGTGGGGTCATGTAGCAAGGGTGGTTCTCTTTCACTGCCCCTTGTCAAAGGAAAAGGTCACTCTTTTGCACCCGACGGGAGGATTCTTCTTTCCCATTCTCCTCCTCCTTCTTTTTTTGCGGTGAATAGACTGCTGCAGCCAGTTTGGACGGTACGGCAGCACGATGGATGACGACGATAGCGATCTTTTCAGCTGGGCGACGGATGACGAAGATGCCAATCACGAGCTGACGTCACAGTCAGCAGCGATCCGCAATGCAACCCCGCCAAGCCAGATCCGGAACGGTCGCGATCGCTCCAGATTACCTTTGTTGCAACTCGCCGAATGGGACGAGACGCTCGCCTATGATGAACAGCCTCCGACCTGTGTGCACTACTTGATCGAATGGAAGCTGAAGCTGAACAGCAGGTGCATTAGTAAAGACACCGAGCCCGACGTTGTCCTGGCGCCTGGCGCGTACTGGACTAAGTATCTCTGGTCCAAGGTAGATAAACTTGCAAAAAAGAAGTTGCCTGCAAACCGAACCTTCCACGTCGACGATACAGACATTGCCGTTTGTGTTAACTACAAAGGCGAAGCGGACCTGAATACGAGGTGTGACGGCCTTGGCGTTGATTGGAAGATGATAGAGGGTAAGCTACAAGCCTGGAGTTACTTACTCCTCGACGGCAAGAGACTCAAGATCAGCCTTTCCTTTAACTACATCGAGACTAGCCAGTCGGGTGGTGTTGTCGCGCGTCGCAGGGGTGGCAGGAGCGCCACTGCTTTCCAGCTTGCTGAGAGAGCGATAGATATTGGCGAAGAGGAGACGGCGTCGGCTGAGCCCGCAGTGTGGAGGAAAGTCTACGACTTCTTCCGGTGCACCGGGTCGCCTTGCGGACTCGGGCCACATTGCTGGGTCGACACTGTCGGTAAGAAGCATTACAAGCTAAAGACTCACCATCTAAGAGCTCTTATCGAGCATGTGCACTTGGGAAATACAGTAGAGTCACACGATGACGTACCGCCTGATGTCCGCGATCTACTGTATGCTGAAGAAGAGCAAAGCATCCAGCGCAAGAGAAAGCGGAGGTCATCATCCACTGATGCTCGGCCCGCTAACATTACCAACGTCATGCCTATTCGTGCTGGCCACTCATCGGATGACAATGGTGTCAGAACGCCATCCGAATCGGTCGAGGGGAGTCCATATGCCCTCAAATATCTCGGTATACCAGGAATGCGCGACGTGAATGTAAACAACTACTGCATCTGGCACTGCTCTAAGAATGCCAATAACGTATGGAAGATGGAGTACAAGAAGGTATGCGACTTGACTCTGGCAGAGGGACTAGACCTCGAGCAGATTCATCTCGATCAGGATGCCCAGTTTTTCATCGATAAGGGAGTCAAGAAGGGCATTGCTAAGCGTTGGGTGAGCGACGTTGAGGTTTGGTTTCGCGATATGGAGACGTTAGAAGCTTCAGAGTAGATCACAGTCAACATTTAGTCTATTACATTCTGTCTGCTTGGAGCATCCGTTCTGGCGGCTCCTCTATCTCCACGCCAGCGTGACGAAAGTGACCTTCAGCGCTCTCTTGCCGTGACCCGACCCTATTCACGCACCACTCTAGGTATGAAGCAAAATCTATCTGGATAAAGTGTTCATTCTCATGCCAGTGACGCCTGATGAAGGACTTGAGCTCAGCAAAGAACTCTTCTATTGGATTGAAGTCGGGCGAATAAGGCGACAAGTATAAGAGCTTGACGCCGGCATCTTCATACATCTGCTTAATTACGGGTGATCGATAGAAGGATGCATTATCTATCACGAGGACCGAGTTTAGCTTAGGCCAGTTACTGCAGTAATGCAATAGCTGCTCGATGAACTCTTTAAACTTTATACTATCTGTGCTGCCTGGGAAGATATCGTAATGCAGGATTCCCTCTTGCGTGTAAGCTGGTAGGATCTAGTACCTTTAGTTATAATAGAAACGGTTAATCTAAATAGGCATAATGCCTTTTAGAGCCTACCTAAATTGCCTTCTTTCTATATATCTATTACATCTAGACTTATTAATATATATAAGCTAGTATGACCGATAGAATAATAGCTTATAGAGATAGTAGTTATAGAGATTGGTATTGCGTCTTTTTGCGATATATCATGCAGTCTTTCTTGACTATCATGCTGACCTTAAAGCTTGACTGATATTGGAGGCAGAAATAGTAGTTTTAAACTCTTTCTTAAGGAACTTAACTATCTTATTGCAATATATATTAAGTTATATAGTAAGGCAATTAAGTAAGGCAGTTAGTATAGGAGGACTTAGTAGTTAGTATTGGCCGACTCTATTTAAAGGGGCTTTGGTTAAGCTGTAGTATTATATATTAGTTTAAATCTGGCAGATTAAGCTGGCCCTGCAGTTAGCAGTACAGGCAATAATAGCATTCTTATAACCAGCAAGGATTATATTGTGGATTAGGGTATACTAATAAGCAGCCAGATTTGGGGCTATGCTGATATCGCCGGTGGTGTTGAATGAAGTCGGTTCCTGGCCATGCTGACCAGCTGGTAAGATATAGGATATAAGGGAGAGGTATAGTGCTGTCTTCTTTATAATGCAGGCAGAAGAGGCCGCATTATAAAGAGATTCTAGACCTACAATTTTGGATTCTTGGTTAGTGCTTATTTTTAGGAAAAACTAGACTAAGCGTAGATATTTATATTATGATTAAAAACAGTATAAGTAGAGTTATAATAGTAAAGCAGCTTTAATATTGCTTTTATACTAAACAGTTAAGCGATTAAATAGGGGATGGCATCTGCTTTATTAAGGCGATAGAGTTAGATTTTAGCTACTTTTAAAATAATAATATAACGCCTATTTCTGGATAATATGGGAAATAGTAAGCATATAGAGGTATAGTAAAGGATGGGGTTGATTATTTGTCGTGGAGTAATTGCGTTTGGCTTTTGATCACGTATATAAGCTGTCAGCAGGTACATTCATACTGTATGAAAAAGGAGATGCGACTGTGTAATTAACACCCCCTTGGCAAAAATGTCCGTGCGGTATAAATCAAAGAGAGTTAAAAATGGACAACCGATTTCGATCTTTACTGTATATCCTGGAGATTGGGGTGCACGGATAGATCCTGTGACGGCAATCCAGTGCCTCATGGAGCTTCTGATATGTGTTTGGGCTTTTTGATATGACAAGATGGTAAAGGCTTCACTTGTGGCATGACCGAACGACTAGCGTGTTCAGAGCTCTGCATACATCAGACTGCCTTTTGTCTTCCTACACCACGGGCCATAATCCAGCCAACGTACCATGAAAGATTTGATATACTTTGCAGAAGCGCTCCCATCAAAACTCTTGATAATCTTTGTAACTTGTGCTAGATGAGCCGGAGAAACGAAATCCAGATCAAATATTAGCAGAAGGAGCCGCCATGTTCTCATAAAAGCCTTCGGGGCTCTTTGACATGCGCTGGTTCATTCAAGCGGAATTAGGAAGAGCTATGCGTCTTCTGATGGTTGAATTGACCGGCATTTTCGCCTAATGGTCGCCAGCTCGACCGTGGCAGAAGCGGGGCCCGACATATCAAGAAATTCGGAGAAGAAAGATTCCAGCCTATGACATCACTGACAACCGTGAAGTATTGGCTGGGAAGAAATAGATCAATACGATTCATCTCACCAGAAGAAGGTAAGTGGGCTATCCTCAACTCGATGCCAAGAAGTGTGATTTTAGAACCTGGCACATGGGCATTCACCGCAGGTCGTTAAGAGCGGTTCATATCCTCGCGCGGTCCTATGTAATAGCCGAGAAGCTCTGCGCAAAAAGAACAAACAAATAACGAAAAGAAAAAGGACGGATGTTCGTACATACGCGAGTGACGGCCCTCTTGTCAAGCTACCCTGAACGTAAGCTTTGCTTACACTCACCATATGAGCTTATTGCGGTACTGTGTAAGCATGACACAGCCACCTGATTGGATACAGTTGACGACGTTAGTAAACAGCCAGACGCGAATGGAGTGAACCTTCTATCGTAAATACTGTAGCTCTTTGCTTACAACACAGACACATTGATACGTGATGCTGTGGTGGTACTATACATGGATTCAAGGGCAACGGAGTAGTAAGCCAGTGCTGACCGCAAAGAGGCTCAGGTCAAGTTGGTAGAAGGTCAAGAAACGTAGCTCCCCGGTATGATGATAGCTTTAAACCTTGCAACTACTCGTGTTGGTCAGAACACTGCAACAAACCCATGTCAACTGCATGGGTGCACACGGCGCAACTCTCAAATCTACGTGTAAACACCCGAAAATTACCCATCGCTTACAGAGGGAGAGGCATTATCAGCAAAACAGAAAATCCGAGGACTCCCAGGCATCAAACAGCGGCACATATTATCAAATTAGCACCAATATACTGAAAATATTGGCCATTGCAATATAACCCTTCTTCACGAAAACATGGAAAAATACCGATCCTGTTGCTGCGGCTGTTCGTGCTGTTCTAATGATATTTCTACTACACTCATGCCTCCGCAACTCGGCGATGGAACATATGCACATACAACGCCAAACATATTCTGGGATTCAGGGGTCACCGATATTTCGTTTGATGCGTCTTCACTGCTCTTACCGGACATTCAACTCAACGATGCCTCGACCCCGTACGCATCAACTACGCCTGGTAGCACTAATAGTACGTCACAAGAAGGTTTAGCTACGCGAATCTCAAAGATCGAAGAGCAGTATGTGGTATCTGGCCGTGGTCGCCCCATCATGGCGGTGATGAATATGCTAACCAGACAGACTTGTGAATATTGCAGCTTCTTTAGAGGTGTTAAAATCAAAGACATGAGTCGAGCTTCCAGAAGTGTCGGCTGACGGAGAAGGGTATTAGACGGTTCGATCCTGAGACTACTTCCATTTACATACAATACAACGCAGTGGCAATCATGTATTGAATACCTGGCTCTTAGCTCTGCGCTTCGAAGAGCTATGGTGCCATAAACAAGTGCGATATGGGAAAGGGGTTAGCCTGCTTTGTTTTCTCAAGTCTTTGTATCTACCTTGCTTTTCAATACATATCAGTACAATGTGTTGAAGATCCGTGAGACCAATTGGGGAAGTCGATGTATCTATCCAATAGATTTCTACGGCAATACTCTTCGTAGAAGACTGGCCTTGCGTCTACGATGTTACTTTGCGGGATTACGTTGATATTGCTTGGCGTTGAGTGAGGCTACTACCTTTTAGCAGAAGTATCGCAAACAACACAATATATTCCTCTGATTGGCTTGTTCTTTATGATACTCGTTTCAGTTTATTTGGTTCGAACTTTTGACATGCTACAGTATGTGTACAGTGTGTGGTTATAACTTCTAAGTAGAAATCAGGAGAATTACATGAATTTACTGTACTGTACACTAACTAGTATAAAAGAATGTTTATCTGTGTAATTATCCCTCATGAGAGTAAAGCTCTGGGGGCGAACCGTCTATAAATCGCCTAGGAGACTTGCTCTCAGTCCCATAATTAGAGGTTCAATATATATATGCTCTCACCAGCAAGATCTCAGACTCCGACCCTTCTAACCAGAACGAGAACCACCCTATTCACCGCCATGGTTTAGATATGCCGATTTGTTGTCAATGAATAGAATCTAGCCATTGTACGTTGAGGTCCATGCTCGGGGTAAATCCATACATCACTTGAGGCTTACTACTGATTACAAAAGTATCATTGGACGGGGAAACATGCATGCTTCAAGACGTAAGCAATTCACAGACACATATCAGGCTCATATATTGTACTCTCCTGCATAACTGTTCAGGTTCCCAAAATGTGGTGAGAGTGGTTAGCTGATTGTGTAAGACAGAACTAGCCTTTGTCAGCGCATGGGTAATCGCACGAATAGCTTCGCATACCAGGACATAAATATGCGGAGAGTACTCCTCAAGATTAGCCTACAGAAGTACAGAATATTACAGGATCTTCGCAAATCTCATACATATGAATTCGAGACCTGAACCTAATAATGGTGGAGATGGATCCGTCTCGTCGGTTAACGCGGTTCATACCCCAACCCGACCTTTAGCAAGCCCAGAAGATTTACCGGTAGCTGACATCCCAGCCAACCGAGCATCGTAGGTAACTGAAAGCTTATAGTTCAGAAGAATCCTGCCTCTTAGATTCGGTGGCGGCCACTTTCGGTTTTGGATAGCAAGAAGAAAGAAAGACCACCAATTCACCATCGTTACAGAAACCGAACGCAAGGCCGTAGGCAGCGCAGACCTCCAAGAATTCCTCTCCTCGATGCACAAAGATGCACACTACAAGAATTGCAGATTTCTGCAGGTACAGGACCTGAAAGCTTCACACTCCAAGATCTTTATTACATATGAATATTTGCCAGTCTCGTTAGCAGAGCTATGTGGCAGCCCCGGACTTGACGATCAAGATATAGCCTGGATACTGAAACAAGTAATTGCAAATCGCACAAAATTACCCTCGCCGCTAACAGTTCTAAAGATTCTAGAAGGGTTAGGGTATATCCACAAGCACTCCTTGAAGTATTTTGTGTTGGAGTGCTCCAATATTCTTCTCGACGACAATGGCGAAGTCAAGTTATGTAGGTTACTGCTACGTTCCTGTCATTCGATATTGTGGAAAACGTACTGATGAAGAAAGGGTTCAATCAATTCACTGCTAAATCTCCCAGTATCACCCAAAGTACAACAGCGCTATGCAGTATCCTACAACTGCTTATGCAAGGCTACGAGAAGGATCCACCGAGTATCGATAATCCAACTCGTTGGTCTAACTCAACACTGGACTTTTTCCATTCGCTCGTCTCAGCCACAGAACTAACAACTGTAATCCAGGTAGGGAGCTTTGCAATATGGCTTGACTATATGCTGAATTGTACAGCACAAACACCTTCAGAATGCAGCCGCTTGGCAGAAAAGGGTCGGGAGGCATGTGGTGCGCGCGCTGTACTGGAACAGATGGGATTTTAGGGAAATTGTTTGAAGGTGGATGTCTTTTTTCATTCTGCGAACCAAGCCGCTTGCGTGTCGAATGTAACGCAAGTGGTGCCCTGTGACAACCTGGCTGAATTATACGACTTCCACATCATTTTCATTTTTGAAGTCATGGCATGGCGCAAATGGCGTTGACTTGATTCTTTGGAGTCGCGTTCTGCACTGTGCTATCGTAACTGAGAATCTGTCCCCACGAAGTGTCGTTTAGAGGTGAATGACTCTGAATTCTGCTATCCAAAGCCATGAACGTACGTTCAATGGCGGCCTTTGCTTGGGCTTTGCACTGTGTCCAGGGATGGCAAATCTTTTAGTTCCCAATCTGGGACAACGAGAACGGTGTCAAGACCTTCGCCAATCAGAGCTAGGAAGCTTACCAAGTTGAGGACTTGCATTTTGTGATCAAGCAATGCATATCCCCTTCGACAGTAGTCTCGGAATATAGCGTCTGCGCCTGCTTCTTGGACTTTGTTGTCTAGCTGCCAAGTTTTGGTCATTTTCCAAAACTCGACGATACTTTGCTTTTGTCTTTTTGTCTGTAGAAGCCCAGAGCTAGTCCGATGTCGTTTGCGCCTCTGCAGTTCGTTAGGCTCATCTGACTCTTTGCTGCTCCGTCTCAGGATCAAACCCAGACTGTCGTCATTCCCCATTTCCGAAATTTCATTGTGCTTACTGGCTAGCAACGCGTCTACCTCTGTTTGCAGTTTGTTTTTCCTTTCGTGTAATCTTGCGATGTTGGCAGATAATTGTTTGCCTTGTCTGATAAGCTCCTTCTCTCTCATCTTCAATACGTCAACTCTTCTGTCTGCTTCCGAGCGTTTATGGACTGCTGGACTCTGGTCAATGGCAGAAAAGGCTGTCTCGTTTTGACGAGGCTGTTCTTGCAGTGCCATGCGCCTCATGATAGTGGGCTCCCTGCTTGTAGTAAGACTTGAAGTTTGCAACGGACCGTGCCTGCCACGGAACTCCTTGCTTCCATAGCTTGTGCTCCCCGGGACCCCAGAAAGTGGCTTCTCATGTTGTGTGCCCTTGTGACGCGATTCGGGGCTCGGATATTGGCTCTTGGAAACTTGGCGCTCTGTTTGCTTCTTAGTGTTTCTGAGGTGTTGGATGCGCGTAATGAGCGACTTCTCAAATTGAAGAAGTTTGTTGATCCGAGTAACTATGTGTCTTTCCTGGTTATGGACTCGTTGGTTATTTGCACGAAGGTCAAGGTTTGCGCTTTGACCAGGTGGTGTTGCGTGTACGTCATCTGCGCGCGACACCTCTTTCACGGCCGAAATTTCGAGATTCACGCTGCTGTCAATACTCATTTCAGAAGGGCTTGGTGGAAGATGAACGGCCCAATTGATAGCTTCATCTTGCGAAATGGTCTCCTGGGATGTAAGAAACTCGAGCTGAACATTTTTTCCAAAAAAGGAATAAAAATGTGATTTTTGGATGAAGAAGGAAGTGATGCCGCTTCCATTGGCTTCCGTGGCCCTTGTAGTGCTAAGTAGCTTATCGAGAAACAACAGAGGTTGGTCCCGCAGATGGTGATCTGCGGCGAGGATACCACATCTTGCAGGGGCCTCTTTCGGTAAGTTTACTATGTCTGAGGTATCAGAACTAATTCTAGGGCGTGCGGTCGACATGATGGCTCTAAGTTGTAATGCCTTGTCTTCAAAATTCTCATACTCGTATTCACTAGGCCGTCGTGCAGCGAGCAAAAACTCTCTGGCAATGACCAGGTCAGGGTCCTGTTGCAAGATGCTTTCTATCTTGTCGGAGTGGAACCCTAAAGTCTTGGCCAGCAATGCAAATCGATGCAAAACACTTGCTGCATTGCATCCGTGAATACTAGACTTGCCCATATCCCGAAACTCACGAATGGCATAAAGCCACAGTTGCCAATATGCCACTTGGAAACGAGTACCGCCGTGAATCCTTGCTATTTTAAACTCTTTGGGTGAAGTTTGGACCAAACAAGTTTCCAAATCCTGTTCTGGACTTTGAAAAATCATCCGAAACGCTGCGTGTATGTCAGAACCGTTCGGTATATCGACCAACTGTTTCATTGACTCTCCTGCCGATTCTAAGTACTGGACGTTCTGGAAAAAGCTTTTCAAAGATGGCATCAGCCTTTCTTCAGTCATTTTACAGATTCGCTCCCAGATTCGCTCCCTCTCCGATTTGCCGAAAGAGCCTAGGATATTCCCAGCTTCTACCAACTCATTAAGAGCCCGCCGCTCGGCCGCAAAGGCGCCAGGCGCCATATTTTGTAATTGTATGACAGTCTCAACGTCTAGCTTGGCCATTGCCTCCATATCCCCTTCAAATATCTCTCTCCAAGTATCGAAAACATGGTCTAATGCGGTCAGGAGTTCCTACAGTCTCTGGTTTTCAGTTGAGGCTCTGGAGCAAAAGCTGTCGAGGGAATAGCACACATACGGCACGAAACCTCTTGGAAAGGACTTTATTGAGTGTCGACAACTTCATGTCGTGCAACAGACTGCTCATGTTCAAGAACCTGTCGAATCGATCCAGAAAAGCCTTTTGACCGAGCAAACTGTTGAAGTTCTTGAATCTATTCTGTGAGTTGCTGACGGAGGCAAGGCGAGCTAGCCAGCGACTTGCAAGATAGTCATTTTTGCGACTGGACTCGGGCTTCTGGAAAACTCTGATATGGAAAAATAGCTCCCCGTCACAGAACTTTCGCTCGTTCATGTATTCGTCGGATAAGAAGCTTTTGAGGTCTTCGCTTATATCTCCACAAAAATTAGGTTAGGGTGCCTGCGATGGAGAAGTGAACTAACCATTGGCAAACAAGTCCACCGCCCACCATAGATCATGATGAAGGATTGCCTGTGCAGCCTCAACGCGATACTTTCCTCTGAAGCATTGCAGTTTACTATGCCGTGGAAGCATGAGCTTTGGTATGTCGTCGGCATGTCGCAGTTGTTCTGGACGAAGTCCTGAACTTCTAAGGGCCGCAGAAAGGTCTCTCCCGTCAATCATAGCTGGTATGTGATGGCCTGAACCGGTAGGCCTGGTATCCTGCTCATGCGTAAAGGCTCTTTTCAATCGAGTCGTATTCTTAGAATCCAAGTGGTTGCTCAACTTACTGCAATAATCAAACTCGAGATGATCTACTTTTACACATACTGTACCAAAGAACTTGGTCTTTTTTTCTGATTCAATTTTTCTTGAAATCAAGCTATATCGCTGGCCTTCCATGGCGGCAGTTAGAGTTGGAGTGTGTCTAAGGGTGCTGAGACATCGACATTCATCAGCACATGAACGTACAGTAGAATCCAGCCAAAACCTCGCATGTGATAAGCGGAATGAGATAATCAATATGGAAAGGCGCATTAAATATGTATGCCAAATGTTTATAATACTCTACGCTGACGGACTCGTGGGCCAGCTTTATCTTAGTTTGCACTAGTGGTCTCGAGGCACTAGGTTCTGGATGACATGCACCCTCCTTGTCTCAATTACTCATATTTGGCGATCACAGCGCGAGAAAAGCGGCCCGACACTGTCATCTCCCTTGCTTACATTTGTCATGCAGAAACCCCTTGAATGGGTAAGCATGTTGATTTGGGCCAGAAGCTGTAAACGCTCAATACAGTAATATGTACATAGTGTACTGTACTGTACTGTAACGCCGTGAGTTTTCCATAAACTGTATCGAATATGCTAGTGTAGTGAAGATTTGCTGACCTAACGCAATAGCGGACTAGCGACATGCCCAAGTGTCACGTAATCACTCCAACGGTATTACTGTACCGTATGCAGTTTTAGCGGTTAAACTCCACGAACGGGTTGCAGCGCAGTACATATACATATACATACAGCACTAAGAATATTCAGAACAACTTAAAGCTCACTCCTCGAGCGTTTTGCTTGAATCGTCTGTCGCAATGAAGGTTTTGGATATACAATATACTCCACTTGAATTGATCTTTCGAGCCTTTGCGCTTTTTGTTGAAATCGTCTTCTTGGCTTTTATCTTTCTGGGTATCCCAGTTGGTACCTGGTACTTTACGTGGGATATAGATAATGAGATTTCCCCTCTGGCCGGCGGCGTCATCCAGATTGGCCTACTTAAGGAGGCTAGAGCTTACCTGGGTTTTCTCTCACTTTGCCTTCCGTGTATCATTTGGCTTACGCTTCCGTACTGCAGTGTGAACATTTTGTTTTCACCAAACGTCCGCCGCTGCGCTGACCTCGCGCTCTTTTTGCTGGAAGCTCTTTCGACATGCCTCAGCGGGAGGGCCATCTTCCTTGTCCTGGCTTGGCTACGCTGTCTTCAGTCAGCTAGTCTTTGGCACGAGGTACTTTGGTGCCAAATACTTGTTGGTCTCTTGAGCTTTGTGCTCTTTACATCACTTGTTGGCAACTCTGTGCTCTTGTGTCTCTTGTTATCCAATCAACCCAAGATTGCCAGGCAGATTATAGATGAAGGCCGTGACCAGGCACAAAAGCTTCTGAGGAAAATCAATAAAGTAGAGGAGTCAAAGATAACGGCCTTGGTTTAAAACATGAAACTTGACGTAATTACTTCAGATCACTGATCCAGCAGTGAATTGTTTGATTGATTAAGCATAATTTTGGTTCCTGTGCCGGTGCACTGGAACGATCAGCTAGCTGTTGGTAGTAGCAGAGCCAAGTTCTTATGGCACGTAGGGAATCATACTACTACACACCCATTGCATTCCTTATCTCTTGCTATCATCTTATGTAAAGAATAGCAAGAGTTAATGATCCCACAACAACTGATAGATGACAGGATCAATACATGAATTGCTAATTGGTATCCTCTATTTTCAAGTAACTTATGTCAAGCTCGCAGTCCCGTTGTGTATAGTTATGCAAAACAAATTTATCATTTCACTAAATAAAGTTTCTATGCAAGAGAAAACGCCTCAAAAAATCTCGACCAGTCTGTAGTGATTAAAATTCTTTGTGTCAGGCACCAAAACCATTGCCACGTTGAGAACTGGCACCAAAAACACCGCCACCTTGAGAACCGGCGCCAAATGGCGAGGAAGCCGAAACCAGGAAGCTCCCAAAAGGACCGATACGACCCGAGCCAAAGCCTGAAGTATTGTCGCGCTGAGATTCTTTATTGAGATCTATGGCTTTGGCAGGATTCGGCTGAAGTTTCGAACTGCTAGCGTGCTGGAATGTCTCATCAAGTTTCATCGCTTCGATCCAACTTCGAGGAAATACATCTTGAGATGTTTCACATCTCGCTTCGATCGAGGGACGTGTTGATCTTCGTATTGCTGGCTCTAGTCTGTTCAATCGTCGCTCTGTAGTATCTTTCTGACGTCGCAAATACATATCAAACATCCATTGGTACCCCGGAGGAGTAGATTTGAAAGAATTTGCCTTACAGCTCCGCCTCATTGTCGAATATTTTCCATCGCTTGATTTCTGTGAGCAATCAGGTCAGTGATACTTCTATCAACCATGCTTATAGAGCCGTACCTCCGAAAATTCTTCCACCATCAGCTCCTTCACAAGAATGAAGTATCGCTTGACCGTCTGGGATATATCTGAAGTCGCTGTGGCATTTTGACCTGTTAAGAACAATTGGACATGCTGCACCTCGTCCCAAGCTAGTAGCTCTTCAAGCACATGTACATTGTGGAAGACTTTTTTGTTGACGTCTGAATGATCATATCCTTCATTCACACTTTTTCTGAATCTGTCATCGAGGTCGTTGCCGAGGTCATAAACTTCCTTAAACTTGGCAGCACGTTTGTCGCTCACGCCTCGGGAAACCCAATAACTAAGAAGGTTTTCCATATGAGTACCGAAGAGGAAGTCTCCATCCTCATTGGAAGTTTCAAGCTGCCGCGGTAGGGTTGTGCTGCTGCGATTCTTCTGCATAATTGCTTCGGCGTATCTTACTAAGTAGTATTGTAGAGGAATAGTCGCAAGAGATATGTTTGCGTTGCAATTCGAATGAAAATTAGATGTGCTTTTTAATCCGACAGCTACTGATTCAGAGCACAAAGGGGCTTTTAAGTAGGAAGTATTGCTTACATCACAGCTTCCATTTCCAGACCTTAGGACGAAGGTCAGCATTCAGAAGTAGTCAAGATTGACAATAATCTGCTGCGAAGCTGCATTGCTGATTTTGAACCTGTATGTAAGCGGTCAGCAAGGAGTATAGAGTTACCGTGCTAACGGATCCGGATTACTCTACAGAATTATCGTTCGATCTCCCAAAATCCAACCTCAGGACTTAACAAAAGATCTTGGGTCATGGGATTCACTGTATATTCTCGACTGGGCTTGGGACCCTATCTAAGTGTCCAACCCAAGTAAGACTACGGTTTACACGCCCTTCAAGGAACCACTTCGTTCTGAGATTCACTGATCTGAGATACAGGACTACTTGGGTACGTGTATTCCGAAACTAGAGCATTTCTAAGGCGAGTTCTACTACGGAAGATGAGCCTTGCACCTACTCCTGAAGTGCCTTGATGCGCCCGAGTCCCTGAAATCAGCATAACGAAGAGAGCAATATTACTAAATAATGCACTGTATTCGTATACTGTAGCTAAGTATTAGCTATACCAAGCAGTGATCTACATTCATACTTTGCTCTGGCCCTAATGACTAGATGTACCATACATGATACAAAAAGATCAACATGTAAGGTTTGTGCGAGCATAGTCAAAAGCATCTAGATATCCGGCCAACTGGACTACAGCGGCGCATACCACCAACATGTGAAAGATTGAATGAGATCCCCACAGGTCGAATTCTCCAGGATACCGACTTTCAGGAAACCTGGTCTTCAGAATTATTTTTGTTAGGATCGATGTGTCTCTTGTCTACAAAACTAGGAGACTTACCAGATAAAATAACGTTCCCACTAAGAGGCAGCCTGCTTTTGCCAAAGTATATGGAAATGCTTTTCTCATCATCTGCGGTACGCCAAACATGCCGACTCCATGTATTAGGGGCAACAAACCGAACAATCCTGTCGCTACGAACATCAATGCTCGGAGGAGGCGGTACTTTGGACCTTGGAACTTGGGATGCATCGTCAAGAAGATGGTCATCATTCCGATGACTCCACTCTATAGAGAGTAAAGAAGAGTGTTAGACTTGGGTACCATATCTTTTAGAAAGAAGAACAAGGCTTCGCACATAGAGTCTGACTAACCATAGACCAGTAGATATTGCGTAACAAACGCTCACACCAGAAAACCAGGTATATTCCCAATACAAGGTCACCCAGTACGAATAATACTACACCCAACATGTCCAATCGTAAACACAAATGCGCCACACTTTTTGAGTGGTTCATGAAGGTGTGATACGCCGCTGAAAACGACAGGCACGTGATGGCTGCCAACATGAAGATGGACAGAGCAATGAAATCGGCGCCAGTGGCCTCCGAGTACTGCTGGATATACCATTGGTAGAGCAAAAAGAAAACGGCCGGGATGAGGTGGAAATAAATGTTGATTGACTCATTGTGAATATACAATAAACTGTATAATGAAGTGCGAAATGAGCCTGAGATGCGTCTATAGCCGGAGAGAATAAACTTATTGGATTCGTGTCGAAACCATTTCGGCATCTGATCGAACGAGAGAAGAATTAGGCGTGCTGCCTGGCCGGGATTGGAGGCGGCATCATTGGTAGTTTCAGGTGTCTGCAGGGGTAAAAGTCGAAAACGAGGATCAGATGCCATTTGCCGTCGTGTTTGATGATAAAGTAAAGGAGGAACGTCCGAGTTTAGATGAGAATGGATGTGCAAAAGCAGCGAAGAGGCATATGTACTGTACAGTAAGGTGCGGGTTCACCGTCAGCAAGTTTTTACCATGCTTTATGAAAAGTACCCCAATATGGACTAGTGCAACACACGACAGATGCAGTAACCAGTCAGAATGTGCCCCGCCATTTTTCCGCCATAATTGTCTCCTGCTATGTCGGCGGTCCGGAATCGGGTGCCAACAGTCAGATCAGCTAATGATAGTTTCAATCTTCCTATAAATCCTTCCATTAGTAAGTATTACTCTATCCGAGCTCATAGATGATGTCCACATTCGCTTTAATTCCTTGATGCTGATCAGAATGCTGTTAGTGACTACACTAGCGTCATTTGTCAGTGAGATTAGCGCCGCAGCTAGTCTTTTTTGGGTCAATTCAGCAAAATCACGATGATGGGCTACTGACGGTGAACCCGCACCTTACTGTACTGTACTGTCTACACATTATACATTATTTCCTCTTCAGTTGTTCTTGCCCAGTGCCAACAGGCCTTCCCTTTTCATCTGACTGTTTCGGCCCTGCATGTGTATAGCACGAACAAGTGAGGGGGAAAATGGCGAGGTAGAAGTGGGGAAGGGGACAAAGGTTGGAGTAAGAATGTCAGCCTACCATTTCAATCCTGACTTTTGAGTTCGACACCATCATGCTGTGCGCTGTGACACGTGTATTGTACTGTAATACTTATTACGCAGATTCTTGTTGACTCACCTGCCTCATGGCAGCCTAGTTGAGACCCGTCAGCTTTTGCTTATAGATCACTTGATTGATATGCTGTGGTACTGTACCGTACATATGTGCTATGTACTGTAAATTACTTCTCTTTGACTGTTAAGATTCCTGGCAACGCTGTCCTCAGAGATCGCAAAATTGCAGCCGTGCCACCGATGAGGCAACGTGAATGGGAATTACGTAGACTTACGAATGGAAACGTTCCTAGAGATATACGGAAAGTCCCTTCACTGCTACAACCGTCATAGGATCAAATTCGCCGCATCTGACACGTGACTTCGAGTTTCTAGCGATCGTAATATGTGAGAGTGATAATGGCAGTCCGGGAAAGATGGTTCTACCTCTACCTTCTGCAGGGATATATAGTACTGTACAAACACTAGAAAGTATCAGAATAGAATTCAAAAAGGAATTGAAACATTATACTGTAGAAAAATCTTGGGAATCTTCGTGCTTCCGAGTCAAGTCACGATTCTCCATCCAGGAGCACCTTCATGTATAACTCTCCTAGATGCACCCGGTCGAATGAAAACACGCTCAACTGGGTGGCCGTATCTAGCGAAAACTCGTACCGAGCATACAGCGGTAGCAGCTTGCGGTTGCGTCAACATACTAGCCCCAATGGTGCGAATTGACTCTGGTCCCAGCTCAGAAAGACTGTCATCTCCGTAGTATAGTATCCGGGTAATGAAGTGACCGTCGTCGACTTGAAACAGTCTGCTAGGGTCCTGCATAGTGACCCACTGTCCCGCTTGCACTACATCGCCGATATGTAAAGTGATGCCGGTCTCAATGAAGAAAACCTCAGACGTAACATCATTGTATACATGATCTCGGAGGGACAAGAAAAGTTTTTCTGCAGTCGCACAACATTTCCCAGACCAGTCATGAACCATAAGAGCCAAATACGCGCCGTTTGCTCTACCTTCTAAAACTCGCTTGATATCAGCGCCGATCACGCTAGGGAGCGGCCGTACGCCATGTGGATTGTGAATTGCCAAAACATGCCTGATCCAATTATCGTCTCTGAGCAAGAACCTAGCCATGAAGTTGTAGATATCTGTATCCAATTGGCAGAATACCCTTTTCAACCAAATAAGAGTTCTCAGGATAGTTGATCTGTGTAAAAGTTGCATCGTGTATACTGGGGGATGGCCACTAGGTGAGCTAGAGTCTTGTCATGTGTAGGGTAGGCTTTTATGCCAGCACTGTAAAACTACGGTATTTAGCTATAAAGTACAGTATGACACTTAGTTTTATGATTACACAACTAGCCGGGTTGCAGTACGAAATTATGTCGTACTGCAGTTCTACCGAGTAAGCTGGCATTATGGATTTTGAGGAAAGTAGCCAAAAATGGCTTAGCTGTAATTGTTGTGTGGCCACGAATGACATGGACACTGTCCCCTTCCAGTCCTGAGAATATTTTGATTGTCTCCACGGTCGGGCTTGCTAAATCTGGAAAGAACTTACGGGACCGAATTTGATAGTCACATAGGTCAGTGTAAAGTTCCACTGGGGCCCCTCCTAATACTGTAACAAATACCCTTTGATAAGCTCATAGGTGATGAGTAACGTAGAATACATGTCCCATTAGCCACGAGAGTCCTCTTGAAGCCGGAAACAGGCACGGCGAATGACTCATGAGGGAGTCATCCGATGCATACATGATGATAGTGGGATTGATATGTTTAGTCGGCAAAGGTGGAGAAGCGCGACGATGGGTCGATGTGGTCTATAAGAGCCTGTGCGACTACTAGCTTCACCTTCATTCTCCATAACACAAATCCAACCAAATCTGCCACCTTTCGATTTTGAACTATTTGAAATGTCAGCTCATAAGATTGTTCTTGTCACTGGAGCCACTGGGTTCCTTGGGAAGGTAGTTGTCGAGGAGCTCTTGCGGCTTCGTGAAGCCCATGATATCCAGCAAATCATCCTACTGATACGTAAGAAAGACCCATTGAATGCAAAGGCTCGTTTTGCTCAACAGATATCTTCATCTCCATGTTTCAGCCTTCTACCGAAGAATTGGGTTGAATGCGTCCAAGTTATGGAGGCTGACTTGGCAAGTTTCCAGTGCGGTCTGGGCGACAACGAATACAGTCAGGTCTGCGATGCTGTCACTCACATCATTCACACTGCTGCTTGCATCAAGTTCGATAGCGAGGTCTCAGATGCCATCTCTTCCAACATTGATAGTTCTCGTAATGTGCTATCACTTTCGAAGGATTGCGATAGACTTCAACGGCTTGTCGTCACGAGTACCGCTTACGTGACTCCACCTCAGGCAGGTCCCATCTATGAGAGCTTGGTCGACCTACCACGTCCGGCTAGCAGATTGATCAATGAGCTGAAGACCGGCGTCATTGGGAAACAGCAAGCTATAGCTGCCACTGGACATCCAAATATTTACAGTCTTTCAAAGTGCCTCGCCGAACATCTGATTTGCGAGACAAAGGGCTCACTTCCTGTCACTATTGTTCGACCGAGCATCATTTGCGCCGCGCTGGAGCACCCAATGCCTGGATGGATCGATAGTAAGGCAGCGTTTGGAGGCTTAGTTCTCGGCTTCGGCAGTGGTGTTCTTCGAGTCATCGACGGACGGCCAGATGCCAAGCTGGACATGGTGCCCGTCGATGTAGTCGCAGGGTGCCTTATCCGCGAGGCCTTCCGTATAAGCTGTGAAGACATTGAGAGGCCAAAAGTCCGTATTGTATTTTCGGTTTCAACAAAAGAGAGGTCTGTCACCTTAGGAGAAGCTTGCAGACTACTGGAACGATTCTTCAAAGGATCCTTCCAATACATTGGTCCTCAAGGGCACGCTTTACAATTCTACCAGTTCCTTCACCATTACTTTCCTCTCCATATGCATGCGGTCGCCAACCGTTTGCAGGGTAATATTATGGGGGAGAAAGCAGCGAAGAGGTCGTGGAGGATCGTAAGCGGTATGAACGCTGTCTTCAGCCCATATACCAACTACACGTACGATTTTCGACCACTAGAGCCGCCAGCTTCTTTCGACTCGGATGAATATATGAGAACTATTTGCAGTGGTGTTCAAAGGAACCTCATGCGGTCTAAGATCTAGGAGCACTGTTCAAGAGATTTGGATATAGTTTGCTGGGAAGTGGTGACAGTATCGATTCATCCAGCTCTTTAGTCTTCTTCAAAAGATTATTGAAGCAGTAACTGATCTGTTTCATATGTAAACAGGTCAGGTAAACACAACGTATACAATTTAAATACCTTTCTCTCAGTACTATCTTAGTCACAAATCATAAACTTTTGGTCTGGGTTACATTCCGGAACATCAAGACTTGCCACGCCACTATTTCCCTATAGGCATTGATTTACTTCTTATTCGCAGTTCCTCTTACGGCAAGTCCTTCATTATCGCTTGGACGTGTGATTTGGCCACTCAGTAATGCTATTCACGGGTTGAACACAAAGCGCATCAGTGTAACTAAGAAGTACGAAGTCCCGCGGCACAGACTTTGATATCGAATGTGGCTTTGAAAAAGGCCGGAATAAAAGCCTCTTCGATGTCACGACTTGTATTCAGCGAACCAGCATGCGTGTTGAAGGTCTTTTAGAGGAGAGATCACCGCGGCCTTCACGTAGGCGTCCTATACATAGCAATAAAGGAAATGACACGTCTATCCCAGCTCCCTCGATCATGTTCCTTCGGTTCATGAGAATTCCCCTGTTCACTTTAAGTGTAATCTATGCCTTGGAAGTCTGGATTACAACAATATAGTTGATGACAAACTTTGCCTGAAAGGGTCATATTTCGATAATAACGCATATCATGTTCGTGGTGTTGCTATAGTTAGTGCGATCAAAAGTATTCTCCGATACAGAGCGACTCTGACGTGAGTTTTTCCGTAGCTGTATTATTGCTGTGCAGTTTCTTTGATACTTCTGAAACGTCCTGGTTTCGAATACAGAAATAGAATTGTCTCGAGCCATAATTAGGCTATGCCCGAGATTATGAAGAAAGGCTAGGATTATTGCAGACATTGGCTCCATAACCGCCGCAAAGCAGTGAGCGTTGTTGTTCTCTGGCAAGTACATAGGTTCAAGGCCTCTGATTTTATCAAGATTCCCAACCCCTTGGTACCACAAATAGGTCGTAATACTGTACTGTAAAGTAACACAGGGGAGTCATTATTTTAAAACAGAAGTTCGTTGCTAGCTTCAGGTCTGACTCATAAACTCAACGCGGCCAGCCGGCACACCCCAAGCTGCATTAGTGTATAGGACAACTGTGAAGACCATGAGCAACATCTCAGGGGTGCTAAGAAGTTGATCCTTTTGTGGGACTTCAACAAGTTCAGCAATGAATGCCTTATCCTGTGTTGATGACGAAGTTGTCCATGTAGAGCAGGCTTTCAGCTTGCGGATAGTTTTGGCCGATGATTGTTCTTGTGATGGGTGCGTGAGCCTGCATCTTAACGAGTGTTTCTGATGATGTTGAGTTGGAGAGCTACGATGGGGGACTGGGGCAGCCATTCTATCCCTTAGGCAATGTATTTAGAGTTCTCTTTATGCGTCAGATGTGATCATCTTCAGATAGGCTTGTGAAGTTTATCTTGGGTAATTGCGTCGGGTAGCTGGCCCGTATTGAATTTAATAAGAGTGTTATTTTGACTTGATAGCAACCACATCTGATGGCTCACATCACACGAATGGCTTATCCACCTTGCTATTTTTGACTATGAGACTATCACTCACAAGGCATTCCATGGTGGGTTGAATGCAGGGATCAAATCAGTCGTTTGACAAGAAAAGAAGGCACTGTAAAAGCTGATGTAATCGGAAGGGAGATCAAGGGAACGGCTTCACAGTCGATCCATCGAATTCAGGCTTGGACCCTGTCCATTTCCGACTTGTGAATGGAAATTTACTAAGAAAATCACCTTCAGGTACGCTGCACAGCATTCAAATTGGTCGAGAAATACTAAATTAGAGAAAAGCTTGATCTGAGGAAAGTTTCGTGGGGGCACATATGTCGGTACCATTGGCACTGATAAGAGCTTCGGAGGACAATCAAAAGGCGGCGACTAAAGCTCCATTTGTGTAGTTGCGGACCTGCGCTTGATCGAGGTGATGATGATTAAAGACTCCTCTTGTTGGTGCGGGAGGCGCCATCTTGAAGATCTAGGGTTTTGTGGTTTGAGATCCTCTTCTATATGGCTCCTACTATCCAAATACCATAACCCGCAATACCTTAGCAAAGCAAATGAACTTATGATGGCACCGATTGAAAGCTCTGGAGAGAGACAATGTTGTGTTGTCTAGTCTACGGAAATTCGGCCCTACCCAAGCTGAGAGCGGGACTTCGATATTAATTCAAAGAAGAAAGGTAGCATGATCGTATCAAATGTTTCAGGTTCGATATTCGTATGGCAACTGGGGAAGAATTGGGAAAACAAGAACCAGGATGCTTCAGGGACTCATGCCCAAGTTGTGCAGGATTGAATTCGGCCCAAATGGCTTCTACCAAGCAAGGTGGTGGATGAATGGTAGCAGAGGGTACGACGAAACATCACTGAGGGGGAGTCACTGGTCTGAACTACATACCTGGACTTGCATGTGTCACATCCATTATGATAGAAGTAGCTTAAGCTCATCAATAACCTTCGTTCTAAACTTTTGATGTCTTTCATTGTACAGTACCTTCTCCTTTATGAGGATTAAGCGAATATATATGTTTAGTAATTAGCATATCAGAAGTCACACTCAAGTTTGAAGCTATACTATCTGTAGTTGATTTTAAATTAAATGTAATTTTGAAAACTGCCACTTGTGGTGGAGTACTGCAAGATTGCCGTGGCGGGAACAGTAGACTTTGTACTATCATTAAGCAACGCACTTGCCCGGGCACTCCACGGCGCATAGTGGATTGCAAACATGCTACAGCATATTGGTGCCCAACTCTATCCCATGGTCATCTCTAAGGCGGTCGATTACTTTTTGCTTAGAAATTTTCGATTCATTTCGAGTTTTTCTAGAGAGATAAATGGACAACATAGCTGCGAACATGGTAGCAGCCACGGTCATCCATGTGAGGACTAAGAATGTAACCCCGACAGTTGCAGAAATTTCAATAGACTTCTTGATACTGTTTATTTTGGAGACGCTCGTACGAGCTGCAACAGTCACAACTATACTCGCTGTTATGATAACCAGCCCTGAAGTGACAAATACGGACGCAGCAGTATAATTGACCCCCAAATGAGTTGGCATGATTGCTATAAAGAGACAAGCCACCAAGCCTATACCTGAAAGACTGATGGCAACCCCATATATCAATGCTAGTGCCAAATGTATTTTTCCAATGATGCTGACCGCACTTTCCACTTCCTTTAGCCAAAGTGTATCGCTGATAATGTTTTCAAGTGGCTCAAGGTCGATCGATATTAACTTATTTCCCAAGCCAGTACACTCAATGACTTTGAACTTAATGTCGGATGATCCTGAAGCAGAGGTAAAGTCTCCCTTGCAATGGTTCAGAACATGAATCGAGTACCAGTCAGGCATGTTGAAACGCTCAAGGGTGTTGCTAGTTAGGTTGAGAACAGAATCTCCAATTTGGCTTGAGAGATCGTCATCCTGCGAAGTCGCGCCGTTGAAAGCTAGCTGGCCGAGCTTGGGAAAATTGATCTGTGAGCCAGCGGATGTCAGACCGATAAAACTTCGTTTCTGTTTATTCAAGACATGCGACGGCAACTTACTCGAACTATGTAAGCTTCCTCCAAAACACCATGAGATTTTCCAGCAAAGAGGCTTAAGTTTGAGCAAATGAATGCCATCAAACCCATCAAACCCATCAAGGGTGGCAGGTATGTGGCCGGCTTCGTCGACATGGCTTACTACAAATGAGAGGAGTGGTTAGAAATCTGTTCGTGATGGCGTAATCCTGTACTGGATTTATGAGTATCTTGATAAAGAAAGTTGACTGATACAGTATTGTACAATAGAAATCGAAATCAGCTGTCTGTTTTCTACTCTCTTTGACTTATATATACCGCACAGACATTTTAGCCAGGGGCATATTGCTTACACAGTGACTTCTCACTTTTAATACAGTATCAACGTGCTCTTGCTGATAGCTTACATCCATAGTCAAAAAGCACCCCCATATACAGTACTAACCATCTTCTACAGCGTACAGAAACAGGTGTTACAATACTGTACAGTATAAGATTCATCGTTTGAGTATCATTCTTGGCTCACCGTAGGTTTCGGCTAGAAAGTAGAGTATGGGATAACCACAAAGACATGGGTTCGTTGATGCCGGGATGGTAAGGCATCAATATGCTGTTATTGCTGATTGATGACAGGGGTAAGTTCGCGCTAGATGCATACTGTGCATGGGATGAGGCTAGTCTATTGTATTTCAGGCCATTTGGCACAAAATTACAATGATGGATTACTGACGCTGCACCCGCACCTCACTGTATTACATAGCAGCAAAAGGTACGACAGCTATGGAAGTAATGGTTGCTACTCGTAGCGGAGGTGTCATGGGGCCAAGGAACTACACTGTAGTAGCTCTGGTGTCATACGAGATTATTGATTATCTGCATAAGCATCCCTCTACTAATAGAAGAAAGCTCCCGTTTGATTGGAAATTTCGTGACTACTCTTCTTTCCCTATTAGTAGCCGGGCTCTGCATTACGACCCCGTAAGCTGTCATGCATGATTACTTCACATTTCCGCTACTAGTAGCGATATGGATTACATCCGGAAGGAGTCACCTTTGATAGATCACCTGCTTCCTCTGTTAGCTTACAGGTGATGGCTTACAGAAGTAGTCTATGCCGGTCTCTTATTCACTACTAGTAGCTCTTGAGCTGTATAAGATTATTGATTACCCCTCCCCTCCCTTCCCAGGTGTAATGGGAGCTTATGACTACGCTACTTGTAGAAGAAGCTTGCAGGTGACTGCTTACCATTATACATTCTCTGCTAGTAGAGCAAAGTAATCCCTTCTGCGACTAGTAGAAGAAAGTTTTACTCCTGATTATCCCCACACAGCCCTTATCAGCTACCCTCTACTAGTAGTAGGCCTAAGCCAATTTGCTTATGGAGATAAGGTAAGGTAATCAATACAGTAAGCAGCTTTGAGTCCTTCGCTTGTGATGAAACACGCTGACAGTATTAGTAAGGCCCCTCGATCAAAATGACTGATAGGCCAGCAGCTACTCTCAAACCATCTACGATCAGCAATAGGTACTGTACAGTGATGGCCGAAATCAGAGGTCGCCCCAGCTTTCTACAAACAGTTTCTGAGCACGGATCACCTCCTAGTGGTAGCTATTATCAGCTTACTGTCATAAAAAAGAGCGTTTATGGCCCCAAGAAAGACAGCATATTCCCTCTTGTATTTTAGTACTTTATGCCGAGCGTCCAGAATAAGCCTTTCTGCCAATACAACTTCAATTTGCTATGCTGACAACGGACGACGAAAAGCATAGGTTTCTCCATTCTATAACAGCAACAGACGGCGGAGTCAATAGCAAAATGGCCATGCCAATAATAAAACCAATTCCAAGGTCGCTTGCAATATCACACATCCTTATCTTCTTATTATTCATGTATCCGTCCACTGATCCACCTCTGCCATAGAAATCTCTAATAATAACACTCTTCCTGACTGGCAGCCTACTGTATGGAAAACACATGTACAACATCTTATGTAATATTTTGGTAACTCAGCGAGTATTTATGTAAGATGTAGTGTTCTATATAATTCTGGAATCTACCCATTCCAACTCGGAGAATTGTTACACGTGTAGCTAGACCCACAGTGAGCTCTTATTCACGGCTTTCTGACAGCCTGGAATTATCAAAATTCGCCGGAGTTCTTCTCGTAGGCACTGGGTAGGTAATTTCCTGTTAACTGTTATCAGTATTTGGAATCGTCGGAATAAATTTGGTCTCACAAGTTCCGCGAGCGGCGTAGGGAACGAAGTGCTCTGTGACGAATTATACTCGTAGTGCTGGTACTTCCTCTTAAAGAGAACATAGACGTCTGTACCATACCGCGAATGCATCTGATCGCAACGCTTCATCAGTCGCCAAACCGCTCTTGAGAAGTTTTCCTTGGTTCTATCTCGTTTTGTGACGATAGTTTCTGGCTTTGATGCCATGGTGCATTAGGAGTCTTTGGTCTTAGGATGTAGTCGCTAGTAAAGTGCAGTTACAGTATCATCGGGTGGGGAAAACCTTTGATGCTCATCATTTGAGTTTTATGATATGTATTATACCGTTATTTCTGTAGTGAATGATGGTATTGTAATATTTTGGGGCTAACATGTAACATGAATAAGCTAGGCCATCTATGTCATCACCAATGTCTACCTTTGGATTTCAATCTATGCAAGTCAATTTCCGCCTTCTGGTGTCTCAGCTTCCTTTCTTGCTGTCTTATCTTTTTTTCAAGTTGATAAATGTAAAGCTTTTGGAGTTTGTGTTTCCTGTAGTTGCGCTTGCGCCTCAAATTGATGGCTGCCAGACAGTGTGATGGAACTTTCATTATCGCGCTTTTCTTTCTGGGACTTTCTTCGCAGCGGCTGTCTTCGTAGTAACGGTAAAGACGCCGAAAGAGGCTGATGTTCGTTACTGCATTTCCAAGGAAGGAAAACATGGGTAACGATCGTCACTGATGACTGATACAAGAACACAAGACGTTTGCACTACAATATAATTTTTATATATCATAATTAGACGTGACTTCAAAACAACCAAAGATGTAGGCGTGTTTATCAGAAGGTAGCGTAATACGTCTACTATCAAGCTAATAATAGAGCCTTCAACGCACTATGGTATTATTTATTTAGCAACTGTAAGCTATTTTTAGTCCGCCAATATTTAGTCGCCACTAAAATAGTAAGATTTGTGAACAGCTGAGGAGACGAACTAGGATATAGTATCATTTAATGCCATACATACATAACATACTTCTGCATGCGTTCACCAATGAGTATGATGTTTTGTGCCCGTAGAAGCAATAGTGACTGTACGGCTTTTTGCGCTAGGAAACATGGTTGGATCTCTTTAGTAGTACTGTATCTATGATTTGCTGTACATAGCACAAAACAACAATGGACCCTGGCCTTCAATATGCATGGTACTGTATCCACACCAAAGCACAGAAAAGTACTTCTAATTTAGCCCAATTTGCATATGATGAACTTTATCCTTTTGGCTTATCAATTTTGCTTTGTGCCGTAAAAGTGGATCGTTCTCGGAGTGTCTGACGTTCCTTCGGCCACCATAAGCGAGCACCACGTCCAATTAAGGATTACTGCACCACTCAGACGCTTACAATTACACGGTCAGCAACTTAGGATTCATAGAACAACATAAATACAGCGTTACGTAGTACCTCACTCTCACTTGTGGCTCTATATATTCACCTAAGAGACCAAGTCTACATCTATTCCATCTTTTCCTTCGCATAGACGACATCACGTCGTCTGAAATGACAGTAGCATCAGAGCGCCAGTTGGCGGATCAGCATGATCGGTTGAAGAATCTTGTCTTATGGTACAATGATGCCCCGGATTCGGACAACGTGGCTTCAGCTATTGCTATCAGGAAGTTTTACGGTAACCGTACAGATACGAAAGTGATATATATCCAAGAACCTCGTCAAGTGTTCTTTGGAACAAGACTTACGGAACGGGAAGAACAGCGGTGCCACCAATTGATAGAAACCCACTTCCCTGAACTAGGGAAGCCATTCAACGTCCTTCTTGGTGGTCTTCTCAAACGCAGTCACATCGACGATAACAAAAATATCTCCAGCGATGAGCGAACAACGGCAAGTTGACCTTCATGGTCAATACAAACTAATTTTAGCTAATTAGCAAACGTTTTAGCTTGAGAGGACACTACAGCCAGAGTTTGAAGTACCAGAAAGTTCGAAGCTACATGCGTTGCTTGCAGGTTGGGATCTGGCGACCTGTATGGCGCAGGCGTCTGCTGGCGACCCAATCCAAATATATTTGGATCTGGAGAGTCTGAAGACTTTGAAATCACCAGTAAATCTTCGCCTTCACAGGCAAGATGAATTATTTTCGCGCAACGAAAAGGAGATCAAAGAATTCGAGGACGCCATGTCCATACCCAATCCAGCCCATAGAACCCAGCACATCCAAGAATGGTATCGCGCATGTGCCAGTCGCGCAAAAAGGAGGCCAGAAAATCAAGATAACGCTGTTTATGCTCTTGACATAGACTGTCTCTGTGACAGGATCAAAAAGGCTAAAGAAGTACGTCTTTTCGGCGGCGCCTCACTTGACTTTCTTCGCCGCCTCATTCTCAAAGGTGTGGCTCATAAAATTAGGTGCCATCTTCAGGTGGTAAGTCGAACTGAACGTCATTCCTGGAGTGCATTATACCTAATTTTCAAGGCAGGGAACGTACAACCTCTCCTCAAATCTATTCCCATATCAATTCAACATCGCTCTCAATCCTGATGCGGCTGAATATGTGTTTGGACATTATGAAGACTTTGAAGAGTTTACTGTTGTAGCATCTCGAACAGCCCAGAGTGTCAAGTATCGGCTCCTGAGCCTCGATCCTAATTTTTCCCTCCTTGGGAAGAGGATAATGGGGTATAATATGGGTAAGACTCCTTTGGAAATTGCAAAAGGAGAAGCAACACTGGATTCGGAGTCATTCCAGCATAAGCTAGGAATGCCAGATCTGACCATGATCATCATTCATCTCCGACCTGATCTGATTAAATGCAGGATCAAATTTGTCGGAATTCCTGATCGATCTGACGGAATGATATACAAGCGCAAAAGGTCAGGAGTCAAGTCATATGAAATGAAGGAAAAGTCAAGTCTGGATATGGATTTGCCGGATATTTTTGCCGTCCTGGCAGCAGAGAGGAGGACTAGAGTCGCATTTGCGCGCTTTGAACGGTACTGCTCAGGGCTACTTGGACGTTTCATTTAGTATCGGTAGATCGTTCATGCTGCATAGAATCATGATACTTCAGTATAGCGCTTCATTGAACCTCGCTAATTGGACCCGAAACTGAATTAGTTCCTATAAGGACATACTAGATACATATGGCATATGCTATACACTTCGACTACGAGGGAGATGCCTTATTCTGTACTTTTTGGCTCGTAGATTTCGTTTCCTTGAACTTTCCGAAAAGCACTTCACAAAAGAATGAACCAGCCTGAACGACAAGCGTTAAATAGGAGCATGCACTTCTATTCTGCCGTTCTCTATCGCTACTTCTATCTGTTCTGTAGCCATAGTATGTTTCCATGATGGCGCTTGAGTTTACACATTGGAGCCAGAAATAGAATGCATAGTTGTCTATTCCGGGTGCTGTCATATGATAATACCAACAACGCTGGTTTATCCATATTTCCTATTTTGGGTCCAAGACTGAGTGGCTATTAATATCGTCTTAAATCAACCTATTTTTAGCAATATGCCTCAATAGTACATAACAAGTTATGAAAAGAGTGACTGTAAGACTCGTCCAATACAAAAGGACGACGTAGTAGAGGTCACGAAACTTTCGAATTTCTCATAAGCTACATCTAATCTGAGTCTTGGTCGTTGTAGCCTAATTCGTTATGGTCAAGCCCACTACTTACAACACTGTTCCCAGTGTCCCACTCAACAACCCCGGCGCTGTACCATTGGATCTCGCGAAACAATTACTACAAGAAACAGGGTATATTCATGACGGCGAAACAGGGTGTGGACACTTCTTACTCGACTATCAAACCCAGTCATTATTTCCTCGCTGCATCAGGGAAGATTCTGGTCCATCTGCCTCTCATAATAGAGAGAAAGCGAGCAAGGTCATTGCGAAACTCAAAAAATATAACATCGGGCCAGGCTATTCCGTGTCTACGAGTCGGAATTACGAAAAATTCCAGAGATTTCGGAATGGCAATATCATCCCTTCAGGGATTAAGATGTTGGTTTGTATTCCGAGTCCCCTCAGCATAGCATCAGCTTTCCACAAATCTCAGTATCTTTCCGATATAGCAACAATCTACAGAAATGGATTACTTCAAGACTTGGAAAAACTATCTGCATACATGATAGAACAGACAGGACTTGAGCATATTGCCATACAAATTGATATTGGTAGGGAATTACCGTTGGCATCGTCGCTTAGCCAGTATTCCCAAGTATTTAAGAAACAAGATATGATGGAAACAATAGTTGAAATGGTTTGCAAGATCGATCCTAGCATAGAAGTTGGACTACATTTCGCTCTCGACCAGCTCGATAGCTCCATTGCGACCTCTTTATTGGAGACATCAATAGACACCGTGCTCCATGTTCTGCATAATACCCCGGATCGGATTAAATGGCTTCAATTTCCTTTGACTGGCACTGGTTCGGTAAACTTATGGGAAGAATTGTCCCGTAATTATGAAATTATCTCAGCTTTAGAGAAACAAAACGTGCAGTTGCGCTTTACACAGGTGCATCCCAACCAGGCTCAACTCGCTATCAATCACCTTGAAAAATGTGGATTTGAGCTTCTTCAGGGAAAACTCGAAGTTGAAAATAAAAATGCCGATCTAAAGGGAGAACAAGTTCAACTATGTTTACAACGCATGCAACATTACGAGAATGAAAAAGCCTACGACCTCAATAACCGCAGGTTTAGCTAGCGAAACCTCCTTCTCAATTTTCAAGTTCTACTCACCGACTGAATTGGAAGATAGAGACAGCAGCAGAGTTGCCCGTAAGTCTGTAAGCAAGTGCAACTAAACCGGTCCGCGTTGCGACGGAACTCATAACATATTGAGTGCCTTGAGCATAGTCAGACATAGACGTGTGAAGCATGTCTTGAAACGGCGGGGCGAGTGGTATAGTAGACGTTTCGAATTAGGGCTCCTCATATTCTTAGATAGACGAAATATGAAACAGCTTATGATTAGGATACTGACTCGTTAGAAAAAAAGCTTTTTACAGACCGTAATAGACAGACTGATAGGTCCTGAGTATGCAATACCTATCATTCCACCAGTATTAGTATCGGCAATTGATTATACTAGCTCAGGTATGGCATAGTGGTCACGTGTACGAAAGGAGCATCACCAGCTCTATCCAACTCTTTATTGATGTCGCGATAGTCATGTTGTCCAGATAATTCAGCCAGACCCCTAGAGCCTATTTCCTTCAGTTGATCCAGTGTGTTAGGCAGTTGATTGAAAGCTTCCGGGGAGTTGTGATGATAGTGATGGTGTTCTACTATAAATGGACGATTTGGATCTGCGAGTAGCCTTTTGACGTTTGCGCAATTGGGCCTAGAACAGATGGAGTCGGTGAAGGTTATGTTGTAGGTTGGCTGTCGCCGCCGAGAACGGGGCGCTTTGCAAACCACACACACGTTCTCAGCTTCGAGGACGCGATGTTTGCGCTCGAGATTTGACCTTTTTGAGATTTGGGGGCGTTGCGGCAACCTGGATATACATAAGTGATCGATAACTGCCAGAAAGCATGATCAGGTATCTACCTTTTATGCCGCGATATAAAAGATCCCATAAGTTCTTAAAACCCCCAATAATGATTTGTCTTGAATCAATACACTGCTTTGCGGAAAGCGACCAGAAGGCACCACTGTGTATCCGTCTTGATAACCAGTGACCAGGAGAAGTAGAGAACATTAATGCCGGGCTTGCTTCAATACATTATATGTACGGTACTGTGCGACTTGTCGAAAATGCAGATGGTTGGGTATGTTGTGAAACACACAGTAGCTCACCTTGGGTCATACACTAGCCTTTGTCTGCTGATGTTCAGATAGTGGGGGATTTATTTTGCGTCAGCAAGGTGAGGCTTATCCTGGACAGGATTGGGTTGGCGGGAAGATGACAGTTGTCTTGCGTAATCAACCCCTGGAAATGTCCATTCTTGGGCATTTCTGACAAATTATTGATATGCGAGACTGTTTGCCCTCCGCCGGCCCCACTTCAGGCTCGTGGGGTGGGGAGAGATGACGAAAAGCAGGTATTACATGTAAGCGTCAGCGACCAGTGCCCCTTCCGCTAGACCTAGCCGTTGTCGTGATAAACAGTACAGTACTGTATTGTATTACATATTATGTAGCAATGGACAGATACTGTACCGTATGTACCACTGTTCTGTATTATGCTGTAATTTCGTCTGTTGAAGTCAGCCTGCTTACAGTTATGTTGCATAGCCACTTACGATACATATAAAATATTCATTTCGTGACTTTATTATGTACAGTATTGTACAGTACATAACTTAGAAGAACAACGAAAAAAAATCGCCAACTATACGCGCAGACTATAAAACATGCATCGTCCGTCTTCTACAAAGGTCTCTGACAAAATGTTGTTCAAGAATAAAGCTTGGGTTGAGAAAATGAAGGAAGCTCAAATGAGACCTGGTCTTCTCGGGGTAAAGAAAGGCTGGTATTACGCTCTTATTATTGTTGCGGAAGGCCCGATAGATCCAGAGACTCAAAAGCTTTTCTTCGAATCGTTACAGGATTTCGTACATGACGAGGAAAAAGAAGAGGTAGTGTTTAAGAGGTCTTCAATTGTCTTGAATATCTCAGCCCTTTACCAGCCTGAAGCAATTGAATTAGACGACTTGACTAAATTATTCGATACGCCTAAAAGCCTCCGAAGATCTAAAGAACTTCAAACCTGTGTTCGTTATTTTGGGGAGAGGAAAGTTGTTAAATTCAAGAGCAAGAAGATCATAAGCCGCTGTGACGGTCCCAATCGAGCATTAGATGATATCAAACAAGCATTCATACTTGATCTAGAGTTGGAGAAAGGACATGTTGTCCCTCAGTATTTTTCGGCGCCTGGATTTCCAGGGGGGGTTCGTGTCGGACATTCTCTTCAACCCCACACAGCATAGCATGGTCAAGCTCCAGCTGGAAGTTCATCAGAATGATTGTCATACAAATAGGTAGAATTAAGGACTAAAACTTTGGCTGTCTTTTTACCTTTTCTTTCTTAAAATCACACTTTGCACTTTACAAGTAATAAGGCTTACCTAGACCATGGCCGCTGGCTATGGGCTTGCGCCCTGACGCGGCACTGACTCACTGAGCATTATGGCCTATTAATGACAGAGTCAAAGTGAGATGCATCACCATAATTGAGATCTATTAAATAATGCGACAGACATCGGCCATTGTTCTTCTACAGTTTTCGGCCAAACATGAAAGTCCCATACATTGCTCCAATATCAGCCTTTGTAACCGGGACCTTCCTTGAGCCCCAGTCTTCAGCACCCAGCTTCCACCAGCGGGCACCACTTTCAACCGCAGATCCTTCCGCACTCATTCGAGCTAACCAGTAACGATTACCAAACTCTTTAGGGGTCCATCCTATATGCTCAAAGTTCTTCTTGCCCTTGATTACTTGCTTATATGCGCGTTCGTTGAGCTCGATGACCTGCAGTGGAGCAGAGGTAGGCCTGAGAAGTATATTGGCACTGCCAATAAGGATATCTAAGTCAGAGAGGTCAAGGTATCGAATACTGTGAGGTTGAAAGTCTCGAGATTGATGTAAGAGATTGCTAATATCGCGCAGATTGAAGCCTTTACCAATAGCGAGCTCTTCCAAATGCTGGACCAAAGGAGTAAGTAGAGGAAGCTGGGAAGAGTCCATTCTGCTTCCGTTGAGGCTCAGCGATCGGAGGGTGAGTGTTAGTTGAGCAATAATCGTGTCTATGTCCGCCAACATGAAGCGATTGCCGGCATTGGTAGCCAGGCTCAAGACAGTGATGGTCTTGGTAATCGCTGAATGAGTGGTGATAAATCTCACCACCACCTGAGAGGTCAACTTTCGGCACTTGGCCAAGTTCAGATGAGTGAGCCTTGCCGTCTTAGGTAAGCTCTGGAGCGCTTTATCAGTCACTCTGGTTTCAGCGAGATCGAGGTGGGTGACCCTTTCGAGTCGAGGCAGGATAGCTTCGAATACGGAACCTGGCAAATTCAGACACTTATGGAACGAAATGCGAGCAAGTGTCAAGGATTTGGGCCACGGTGCCTCAAGTACATTAGAAAACGAGCTTTTGAATAACGCAGAGGAGCAGCCGCAAAAGTCGATAGCCTGGAGTCTGGGCATATCGAAAAAAAGCTTCTTAATCACATCGGGTCCAAGATCCTCATCGATATACTCTTGAGCCAGGAACTCTTGTAAGTCTACAGTCAGCTCGAGACAGTTTAGAAGCGTCTGAGAAGTCAAATTTCGAGTCTGGGCTCTCTCGTTCGCAGTGGAGAAGATGGTAGAGGGGTTGAAATGACTAAAGTCGAGCCGCCGGACGATTGAGGCGAGGGTCGGATACACAGATATGGTCGCGAGGAACTTTCCAAAGATTCGAGAATGAGGAATCGTGATGTGACGGTACAAGGTTTTCAGTGTTGCAGCATGGATATATCGCGAAGTCAGAAGTAGGGCCACGAGGTTGGCGTTTCGCTGCATGACGCAAAACGGCGGTCCCTCAACAACAAGAAGGTCGATAATTGCACCTGTGATTTTCTTGTTAGTGCATACTATGTGTATCCTATAGTCGGGACTGAAGCTCAGTAGCTCGTATGACTGAGATAGGCTTTCAAGTCCCTAATGATATAACTACCCATGATTTCGCTAGGGAGTCTCTCAAGAGGAGAAGTTCTGATCTCACGGCTTGCGCGCCACGACATACTTCTCTTCAAATAGATCAACACTATACGATACTAAATTTCATTTGCAGTAGTGTTGCCAAGCGAAAGACGTGAACGATTGAGTATCCAAAACGTGAACATGAGCACAGCGCATTGCTTCTAAGGTCTAGATTTGACTTTTCAATCATCAGCCAAACAAAAACTATATTCTTCTGTGAGCTTACTTCATACGCCCACCGAGCTCATCGATATTGAATAATTGAGTCAACAATCTTATATGCTTATACATACTATTTTGGCTGTTGAATCATTCCCTCTGGCATAGCGCTATCTGTAAGCTGGAAGCTTCCAATAAGATATTTACCATATTCTTACATATGGCACGCGGTACAGCACATACTATAACATTACGCAAGAAGATTTCAGCAATTTAAAGCCCAGGAGAATCGAATTGATTATGCACAATAGAGGTGATTACGGTTTTCAGACGCAAGTCCGTAAACAATCGCGTTGGTTGATCGGTTCACATCGCGCGCCACTTGGTCCGTGTATAGTACATGCATATATGCCGCTGTTTAAATTTTTAGTAAGCTTGAACCCCAGTCCTTTGACACGTCAATGCCTCGAGGAAACTGGACCGCGCCTTTCGTGAGCTCCTTGACTTTTGCTTCCAAGTCATCCCACTCATTCTTCTGCCACGCCGTCTGATTCCACTTGTACTTCCACTCGTTCTGTTTAGTTATGGACTCATAGTTCCAAACAGCCAAGAGACACAACTGCATGCAGTAAAAGAACTCCTTGCCTTTGTCCTCACTGCATGGAACCCCATGGCCGAACTTGATTGGTACGTGTATAGGCTTGAATAGAGTGGTATTATAACGCTCAAAGAAGCCTCTTATCTCATGGCCATCTGTTTCTCGGCCGTAGACGTTTAGCATGATCGGTATAGTGTGCTGATTTTTATCCATAATCCTTTTGTCAAGGACAGCATCAAGCTCCACTCCCTCGTATTGTCGAATGAGATAGAAAATGTTACCAATCTGTTGGGCGTAGCGCACACCTGGTGTTTTGTCGAGATCTAGGTGTATATATGGCTCGCCTCTGATTTCGACTTCTTTTTCTATGTGATCACAAAATTCTTGCTGATTTACGATCGCCAAGTGGCAATACACACTTTCAAATTCAAGCTGGCCTTTGATCTCGAAAATCTAATATCTGAGTCAGAGCAGAAAGGATAAAGGGGCTCAAGGATACTCACAGTCCCGTGGCAAAACAGGTTCCTTTCTTGTTGGCCATTCTGGTTGATCGTGGACTGAGGTGATTGACCTGCACTGCCGGACAACACTGTATCTGCATTCAACACGGTTTGTTGATTAGCACTTGTGGTCATGGTGAGTTTTTGGCCATCAGATTCCACCCCGATTTTCATATCTTCAATTTGGTATACATGCTGAGTTGGTGTGGATGAATGATCGGCACCAGATCTCTTAAGACTTTGGTGACTGCCTATCTCCAATTTGAAATGATGTCCATCATAGGTGACTTTGGCCAATTTATCTCCAAAGTAGTATTTATGGTTGACAGGAGTAGCTGAGCTACGGGATCCTACAGTTGAAGAGCCTGTGGGATTATGATCAACAACCAATGGGAATTTGGAATTTTGCGTCAGTGTTGCAACGCTGCCGTCATGATCATTCATTGTTGTGTCGCTGACCGGACTAATGGGGCTATTGCTTTGATCAAGGTGAGAAGAACGGGCTTTGCTTTGGAACCAAAGATCAGAGTGAAATTCTCTGTTTTGTCGTAATACATTTAGTGGTGGTGGCACGACATTAGAATCCCCGTTTGGCAAGGGCGGTAGATTGCGTCTTCCTGCCTCCTGAAGATCGCCATGGACCCGCATTTGCTCCTGTCTCTGTCGGACACGTCGTTGGTCGGCATCATTCGGATTCGTTGCTTTTCTCTTAGTTTGGTTAAGTATCGACGGCATAGTAAATTCCAGACTTGTTCCTGATGTGTGTGCCTAAGCTAATGGGATTCCTGAGACGCTATCAGGAATGAGGCTATTTATGCATTTTGTGTGCGACGTCCAAAAAGCTACAAGGCATGGAATAAAAACACTGACTTTAGTATAGGCACTGTTTTAGAACGTAGAATGGCTTTACTGAACCTCTGCAAGAGTGCAAGATAAAATTAGAACTATTAATCGTCTAGTTTGGATCAAAATAACTTTATTTTTCTTTGCCATAAGATAGAGTCCAATCGAACAAGGTGCCCCGTCTAAAAACATCTAAACATAGAAACAAAAAGAAATACCAAAATAGTACGCACCCTAAATTTAGAAGATGTTGCATTGTACCTCTCGCACATACTCTCTCTTGCGGCTACTGATATGTCCTACAATTTCTTCAAGAATGAAAGGTCCATTCACCCGGCCGATGCATCAAAACCCGCGTGATCGCGCTGTCACATCTTTAGGGTAGTTGACTAGCTGCGCCTATCTCTACTTCCGTACACTATGAGCTCATTCCCACTATTCTCAAGACTGCCTCCTGAACTTCGTCTAGAGGTCTGGAAATTGGCAGCAAGCACCCCTCGGGTCATCCACCTTGATGTATCAGACGGCGAGTTCGGCAACATCTTCACAACAATGCCCCCACATCCCCTACTCCAAACATGTTATGATAGCCGCCGCGCCTTCCTAGAAAAGAATAGAGACGTGGTTCCTTCCGGTCAAGGCGAACCCCAGAAAGGAGCTCATAAACCGAACCTGGCCACCAACTTCGAACGCGACCTGTTCCTGATCAGAGGCAACGATGATTGGCCAATGCAATTGTTCCCCAGAAGACACTTCATATATCAGTTAAGAAAGATTGCCGTAGACCTGGGGTCCGCATCTCACATGAGTTCCCTGTTGTGGAGATTCTTCCAGTGGCAAGAACTCTGGATCTTTCTCGGGCAGGTACCGGATCACTTCTGTCCTAGCCCAGTCTCGAAGTTCCGAAGGCACTGCCCTTTGCATCATTGTGAGGTGTTTCCAAAAGTCTATCATCCATCGGGCCAACAGAGGCAGTCCGGGTTACCCTGCCCCGCCTGTGAATGGGCAGACAGCTTATATGATCACAGTGTTCCGTACCCGAGATACTGGGGAAATGTACGGGTTACGGTCGATTCATCGCTGCCAAGATATCCCAGTGTAGGTGACATCTTGAAAGCCGAGAACCCTGTCTTGCGCTGCATCCGCGTGTGCGAAGATGTACCCGATAAAGAGGGCACAACAAGTTATAGCGTTATGGGATGCCATGATACCTTATCCGCCGCTGCCGCTGCATGTCTCGTGGGGAACCGCCATAGCTGTTGCCATTAAGAAGTGAATCACGTCGGGTTTTATGGCCTGCAAAAAGATGAGCAGGCGAACGGGAAAGTGGAGAGAGGCCAATGATTAGGGTAAGAAAACCGCCCCGCTATTCTAATTCCGTGTTTTGGTCCCAATCCCGCCGTAAGCTGTGTCATGTACGTACAGTACGGTGCAATCAGATAGATTTTTGTTCAATTACTTGTCTTGTGATGACCTAGTTAATACCAATCAGCCTTTTTCTGTGAATCCCATCATTGACGTAGCGTGCTTTTCCGTAAGCGACTCTTGCCAGATGCAGAGAGTAACAAAGTTAGAATTGTAAAAGCTTTCATTCCTATACTGTACTGGATGAATCCGACACAGGTGGGACGCATTCGGGTCACCTGGTAATTGAGGGTTGTTGACATAGTAATCAGACGCTATGCGACGACTTTTATTTAGAAGCTCAGAACCATACACGAGTACTAGCTTTTGGTATCAAAACGTCAAGATCAGCCATCGGATTTTCATGATACTGTATCTTCGATGGATGGTCTAACTTAACAACCGTTCACCAGCTATCTCAATCAGAAGCTTTGCGGAGCCAAAATGTGACCACAGGTATGTCTACGGACTGCAAAACGAACCCAACAAAAAAACTCACTATAACTAGTTTTGTAGCCACTTCCTTATCCACCTGGCCCTCCTCGACTGCTACAATATTACTTGTACCTCTCAAGGGTCAAGTCTCCCCTGGAGTCATGAAATTTATTCTGCGAGAAAAAAAAAAGATCTCAAAGCTCTCAACAAGCCAAAGGGGAGGAAGAGAAGGAGAAAATAGCCTTCACTCATTAGCCTCTGGCCCTGGTTGCATGAAGTTCGGTACAGTATGTACTGTACTTGACAGTGTATGAATTGTAATCCGAGGTATAGCTGCTCAGCCCTTCTAGTTAACTCCAGTTAAATTCGGGATCTGCTCTATATTTAGACACAGTTGGTTAATTAGGACAGTCCCTCATATCTGTGGGCTAAAAATAAGTTCTTTGCCACTATTTATAGATTAGCCGTCAGCCTGATGTATTCACATTTTGAACATAAAAAGGGCTTCTCTACATCGACAGTCCATCCCGAATTCATACTCTACCAAACCAATTTAGAACAAACCAAATATCACACTGAATTTGCAACATCCTTGACTTTCATCTCAATGGCCGCCATAGCAACTCAACCAGTTACTATTCCGGAAGCGGATCTTCCGAACCTGGATAGCATCTCTTTTTGTCAGGCTTCATTAAATGACAAGCTAAAAAAGATCTGCGATGACTTCATCGCAAGCCAAGATCCTGAATTATTCAATGACCTCAACACAACCAAAGCGGCAACGGCCCTGGGCCGAGCAGATGACGCAGCGCTCAAAGCCGCAGCGCAACAATTGGTAGACGAAATTTTGACTTTCGGGGAAACCTCGTATGATGATGTACTTGGCGTGAAGAATGATTCATCACCAGAGGAAGTTTTGAGAAGTTGGCGGCTACGGGGCTGCACCATCCGGCCATATCTGTCGCATGGCGAAGCCCCGTTGCAGCAAAGTGCGAGGAAGGCGTTCATTGGTATGTCATTCTGCTCCTTGTTGACAGAACCCATAAGCTTACTATAGACTCTGAAGCACTTATGTGTGCGGCCCGCAAGAAAAGCATCAGCGAGAGAAACATCTACGAAGTGGTTGAGTGGGAAGGGTTGGTAGATCTTAACGCCCTTCCTGATGATGACGGTACGCCACCTACAGAAGCGTCGGTAAAAGAACCACCACAGGAAATCAACAACGTCTATGAGAAAGCAACCGCCGATATGGTTGCTCTGAAGTTGAATCCTCAAGATGTAGAAGTACGGAAAAGGCTAAACACCCATAACCTTGCCATCATGGAACATAATAAGAAGATGGGCAAAATACGAAGGGATCTGTACCAATGGATTATCCCATTGGAGTTCTTCTCCCCTCAGTACATGGAAGCCGCCAAGAGGTATAAGAGTCTCGATGATAAGCCAGCCGACGAAGTTGTCGCAAAAGAAATTGATAAATTAAAGGAAGTCGTGGACACGAAGATTAGAAAAGACCATTTCAAGCAAAGCTGGAGCATCCCATCAGCCAGTGCCTACGTTGGCAGCAGCAAGGAGATCAAGAGAATCATGTCATGCGCCACTGCTCATGAGCGTCTTAGCATAAGCACAGACGCGGACGTAGCAACGAAGGTTACTGCATTCAGGAGTATTGTATCCAGAATGCATCCCGTCTTCGCATTCCGCCAAGATGCACATGAGGCACTAAATCGTATTATTCCCCCCTCCCCCTCTGAGAATGCACTTGACTAATGATAAATAGAGCTTTGCACAGCTGCTGAGGAGGTTGGAATCAGCGATATAGAGGTAAGCTTCGGGCGCGAATGGGATGGTGGCAGTTGGGAAGACACACGGCAAGACGAAGACGTCGTTCCTGAGCCACCAAGCGCCATTAAAAAGCTCTATTCAGATGCTAAAGAGTCCATGATAAGCCTTAGCGGAGACCCAGGTGATGGCGCTGTAATCAGCGTCGTGGAGGAGATAAACGAACAAATAAAGAAGCTTAGTAATGATGCATCTGGAAGCGGCCCAATATGGAACATAAATGTGGAATGGTGGTGTCAAACCTTTCGTGACATGGCAGAACAAGAAGCTATTCTGAGAAACGACATCGAAGACCGAGGTGCTAGAGAGAAGATTGAAAACTTGATTAAAAATATAGACACTTACTTGAAGAGGAGTCACTTACCATCAAATTGGTCATACGGGAGTGCGGAGAAAGTTATACGAAAAGTCCAGGGGGAGCTAGATGGTCAGAAAGAGATCCTGGAGGCTGTTGTTATGGATATGAAATCCATGTTTGACGACATCACGACCCTCCAACAAAGACTTAACGACCAATCACCGAATGAATCCCAGATGAGTGATGTCGTCAAGCTGGTCAGATCAAAATATTCAATGGTCGGTGAACTGAAGAAAAAGCTTGAGGATGCAAATGACAGGGTCCGGAACTCTCGAAGCGTCAACGAATTTGTGGAGGCTGTCCAAGCTTCTCAAAACGCGCTGAAGGAAGCCAGGCAAGCCGATCAAGAATGCGATGCAGCAAGAGAATTACTTGCGTCGCTACCGGATTCAAGCCAGAAGTCCGCATCTAATGCTGTTCAGTATCCTTGGGCAACAATGCCGTTATCTGGGGATAAAGTTGTGATTGGCTACAAAAGGTCAGGGAAAGGATATCAAGTTTGTGTTCAAGATAAAGTGAACGGCAGACTTGTCCGTGAATTAAAGGCTGGTGCGATTATCGGACGAGGAGTCGTTGACGATTACTGCGAGACACCCGGTTCTTGCAACATGCAAAAGTCATCTGCTCAGTTCGACAACGTGGACCTGAAGGCCAGAGACCTTGTGAAACTCCACTTCGTTGCCACACAACAACCCAAAGTACGCAACGCAGATCGACCTGACATAGCACCCGGATCGTATTGCTGTGTGGAACTTCGTGATAGAGGCATTTTCATGCTCACAATGACGAGATTTCGAAGAATGATGGGAAAGCACAAGGCGGATGAAGAAATGGAACAAGTTTGCAACGAGCAGAATACTCCGGTACCATGGGAACAGCAGCCGCTAACCACTTATGTCAAACCAACGGCAACTAAGAATACCCAGAATAAGCAACAGATAGTAGCCGGTGTTGCAGGAATAAGCCATGATACGACAAATCTCGAATCACGGATTTCTATTTTGGAGAACAAAGTCAATGACTTTCAGGCAGGATTGCCACAATTGCTTGAGAGTACAATCAAAAAGGCTATGTCTACGTTCCAGGCTACATTTGAAGCAGAACTAGCAAAGGCTTTGCAGGCTCATAGCCACCAATGAGGTAGACCTTTACCACGAATATAGCTATAATTATAAGTCGATATGGAAGTTATGGTACAAGGTATCCGGGTGGATTTAGAAGCTGTGCTGGTAACAGAAGGTGGTTAAAGACCTATGTATCGAAAGGTTTGGCCATCCCGAGCTTGGAAAGAACATGGATTGAGTTTGTTATCGAGATTATGTTGAGTTTGAATACTATATAAAACCTCATGTGCTGGAGTGTCCTAGAAGACGTAAAGCGACCAAGAACTTGTACAAACGTCCTGACGTACACGAGAGTGAGCGATATCAAGCGTCTGAAGAGGCTGAATAAACGTACGATGAGGACACTGGTAAGGGTCCCATCGAGAGTTGATACCTTTTTCATACATATTCCTTGTGATTTTCTGCTCCTCAGTCCAAGCTTCAACGGAAAATAACTTTATTGGTAACGTTTGAGGGACGTTCAGCACCCCATGGGGCGTTTTCAGGCTCATTCAGATTGGATGGAAGGGGGTTGAAAACGAACACAGAGAAGGCTATGCCAGCCGAGTTAGGGCGCACGAACTCTTGCTCCTAGCTGGCCTCCTGTCCTGCCTGCCCCGCATGTTACTCTAGTAGGTACAGAGCTCGATCAAGCCGAGCTTGCTTCCACGTAGGAAATAAGATCTCAGAAGCTTAGGGGCGTCCCATTGCAGGGGCGTGGGAAGTTATCTTGCTGCCAAATCGATTCCCGGTTTCAAGCGACATCAGGAGAGAGAATAGTGGGCCAGTTATCTGATACAGTCACAGCAAGGAACTAATGAAAGCTCGTCAGTCTAATGGCTTTTGCTATTCACGAGGAACATTGAGAAGAAACCACCCTCCTTAGCATGTGTAAGAAATTGACTCACGGCCGCATTGAACAGCCCCAAACAATAGACCTTAGGTCTTGTATTCAATTGTCCTGGCTAAGCTTGACAAGAAATCGAACATGATGGTTCTTTTCTTACCTCGTGGTGTACAAAGCCCCTGCTGATCTGGCAGGGCCATCCAATAGACCACCTATGCCCAAAATAGCACACAAAAACGGCAGGCTCTCGATGTCTCAAATGGTCCTCCATAGAACAAGGTTCATCAGTCATGTTTCCAGTTCTTTCTATAGAACATTCATGGCCTAAATTTGTGACTGCCTAAGCGCCTATGAAGTGATGCGCACAATATGGAGACTTACTCAATTTAGAAACGATTTTCCTAGGTGAGGGCCTAGACTCCCTTTCATGCAGCTCGTCTTCTTATGAGTAGCCTGTAGGTGCCACAATTGCGAAACGAGAGTTGACCTGGTAGATGCACAATCTGCAAACAAGGTACGTACAACTATAGAATTGATTGATACTAAATGTGTTTGCCTGCTACAGGTTCGTCTGGTGTCAAATTTCGACTCCCTCAGACTTCCACGTGAAGTGCTCTCATTTTGCGACTCATTCACACTCACTGTATCCATCCCCTCTCATCCAACATGGCTCCTGCCACACGAAAAAAAGTAGTCTCTTGTTCCACAGGGAGAGCGAATAGTACGGAAAGAGGCACGGTTGCTGATCGATTGGAGGCAGCCGGGATCAAACGGAAACGCGACCCCAGAGAATCAGATACTCGCCGTCCACAGAATCAACATGCGCCTGCCACCGACCCAAAAGATAGTGGCAGGCTTGCAACACAAGCCAGTCGAAACCGAACAACAACATATCATCAAGGAAACCGAGAGACCTTTTCTCGCTATTGGCCACCTCCATCAGACATCATCGATCTTACAAACGACGACGATGATGACGCTGTCGAAGGAAACTGTAAAAGAAGCAAGGAAACAATACAACACCGCAGAATCACTCCCAGTATCAAGCCAGAACTTCTGAACACAGGTGACACCGATATTATTGCCACTACCAGTATCAAGGACATAAGGCCCGTCTCTCACGATGAACCAGTGGGAGACAATGGAATCGAACAAGAAACTTCATCAATGGGGCCAGATATTCATTCAGCCTCCGTTGCGGCCGTAATAGGTGTCACTTGTGATCATCTACAGGCGAGCAACAAAAAGTCCGCGCCAGAACCCGGTCCAACAGCCATATTAGGGATACAGCAAGGCCCAGCCGAGACGAATACTCCTGAGCAATTGGTAGAAGGACTTCTCAAGAGCGATCTGGAAAAAGCCAAAATAAACGTCGAAAAGAGCAAAATGAGATTGAAATGGCTCGAAGAGGAGCTCGAGCGCGAAAAAAAGAATCTTACAGCAAACCAAACAGTTGTCCAATATTTCACAAATTTAATAAATGGCTCCAAGGCCGGAGCAGGATTCATCAAAGCCCCGAAGAAGAAATACACAAGGCATCACACCAAAACGGATAACAAAAGATATTCGTCAGTTGGGGAAATTGCGACTGGCCCGCCAGTATCTATACGGCAGCCGACTAGAACTCTATCTACGGCACCTACATCATTCATCACGTATAACACCCAGCAATCACTTGAGAATCCTCACCAAAGTACCACCGTTGACGAGGATATGCTTTCGGAAACGGGATCCACCACTTTACACTGCGGTACCCAGAATTATACGGTGAACCCAGGGATGCATAGCCGGAATATTGATGCAGCAGAGAGTGAAAGTCGGATGTCGAAAAATTACAAGACCAGGCAGCTTCTTCAAGGCAAGTGCTCGCTTCCTAAATACAGAATATCATGGGAAGAAATAAAACACAGTGAGTTATGCCTTATTCCTAGAGGTCCCTCGTTGACCAGATCAGATGAGATACATAAGTCCGTCGAAAGACAAATAAGAAGAATAACGGAAGGCTACGGAAAGTGCCAGTGTAATAAGAAGGGAACCAAGAATGGAACCGACGAGGGATGTACAGAGAATTGTACTAACAAAGAAAGCTCCATCCTGTGTGACGACAAAACATGCAGTATTGGCAGAGAAGAATGCCAGAATCGCTGGCTCGAAACCTGGGCCCACAAGGAAGGTGAACTCAGTCAACATCTTGAAATCAGGGAGAATCCAAGGTTTGGAAAGGAACTGATCTGGAATGGCCCTGTAGGGAAAGATCCGGAACGTCTGATTGCTGAATACAGAGGACAACTTATCTCGACCAACGAGCTTATGGCTCGAAGAGAGAAGCAAGATGGAGGTAGTATCATGGAGGTAAGGATATTCCTCGTTCTACGACACCTTCTAACATTCGAAAGGGACATTTTAACTTTGAGGTCAAGTCTCTGGGAGGACCTGAGCATCTGTGGCTGGATTCAACATACAAAGGCAGTATTGCGAGGTTCGCCAACCATAATTGCGACCCAAATTGCATTGTCATCCAGTTTCTGGACAGCAATGGCCCGAGGCTGTTCCTTCAAAGCGCCAGGCGTATCAATCCTGGAGACGCGATTACCATCAACTACGGCCTAGGGGTTCCTCCAGCATATTTTAGAGTCACGATTGGTCTAAAATCGCAAGATGTGCCAGTTTGTTATTGTGGCCGCGACGGATGTCAGTGGAAAATAACTTCTGCGGTACGTGACATGGAGATCTGGCTTAATAAGGTGCCAGGGGATTGGTCTAAAGACCGAAAGCCAGGGGAGCCTGTCCCTCGAACCATGAATCTATACCTCCCTGGCGCAAGACACGCCATTAACGTCTTTGAGGGTGACTGTGACCCTGACAACGAGGAGGAAATATTAAGGATTGCTTGCGGGAACGTGATCAGTCACCTTCAGGCATCGCTGGTCAAGATCATCGGGGGGAATGGCAGCTGAACTCATAGGTTGGGAAAGAGAGTGAAGCGTAAAAGGACTCAGTCATGTCTCTTTCAGATAGGAGCTTAGGTATGTTATCTTCTTTTGTCATAAACAATGCTCATTGTCTGTCTTCCTGCACAGTATAAATGATTGAATACTCGCATAGAAACGCTGCCTCCCGATATGATTTCTCAACATACTCCATTGAGGAACATAGCTTGTCGCAAGGTACCACTGAACTTCGGCGATAAATTTGTTTGTTTGTTTGTTCATTTCCGTGTTACGGTCTAAGCGCCCGCCAACCTTCAATTGGAGTAGGAAGCCGTGCTAGGCTAGTTATCGTTCCACAGGGGACACTATTCCGTTGATACTGGTTTTGCTGATGTTTTTAGGGTTTTTCCAAGTCATCTGCCGCGGCAGGAAGTGAAAAAGGGGCTGCGGTTCTGGCAGGCCGGCCAGGGCCGTAAGCCATACCATATCTTGGATCGCCTTGAAATCCGGCGCTTGATCGTTCTATCCTGCCACAATCTATATTCTCGAAGAGTTGTAGATACTCCATAAGTGATATCTGGTTTTCGTCCGAGTATGCCGCTGCTTGCGTGACGACTAGTGCAAGGTGTGCCAGTAGCATCAGATGGACTATGACCTTGTAATCAGTTGAAGCTATTTTCTGGATTAATGCCTCCTGGGGGTAACTAACCGCCTCATCTCGCCCCGTTTGGCCCGGCATGGACTGTGCGTCATGACTCATGTCAGCAGTAACTATTGTGACCCACAAAGAAACTCTGAGGGTGTAGACGGTCAGCGTTGGTAAGGCCAGAAGAAGCGGGTTTAAAAGGCTAAGATGGGCCAATTTTGGTCATTGGGCATAAGAGGTACCTAAGCTCCAAGGTAATAGATGTCAAGAGTATAAAAATGGAAGCCAATTTCAATCGCAATGGTATACAGTAAATACGGATCAATGGACCGACTACAGTATGTACGTCAGCGTTAGCCTCTCTAGACTACGTATCACCGCAGCCCACTTCTTTCTCACGGGCTTTGGTTGTACTATTGGCCCGCAACGTCTGCGGCTGTCACGAACATAGGCAAGGCAATTAGCTGGGAATTCGGTACATATATCAATCCGTCTCTAATCCGTTTCCAGTGAGTGTAAGTACTCTATTTTTGCCTTTGAGTTTTATGTATTGGGGAAGCTGATTTTAGCTACCCTGTGATCATGCTTAGCAGTTATCTACTTCTTGTTTTAGTACAAGCAGACTGGCGTAGGTCAGCATAGGACAGCAAGAAGGTAAGAATGGCTTCCATGCCGTGCACAAAGCAGAGTGAGGAGTCAAATCCAGTCCTTTTTACAAAGTTGACCTATATATAGCACCCAGATGGTGTGTACTTAGCTGTGAACCCGATTATGGTATCATATTTTCTCGTGTTTGAAATGCACTCCTCTGGCGGGGCGTGCATCAATAAATCGAGACAAAGACCGAGATCATTAATTGACTCTTGCCGTTCTGACTGATCTAAAAGTTCTAGTTGAAATCAATGGCGAGTATCAGGCACGGATCGAGTATGCCCCGCCTATCACAAGGGAACGTTTACGTCATCGACACCTCATGAACGAAAATCTTGGTAAGCAGTATTCAGTATGCCAGTAAACCATTCACAATTTACTACAAACAAGAACTATATCCTTTGTTGGTAGGCTTATTGTGTTATTTACGTATTTTGGTGACTTATTATGTTCCTGGAAATAATTCGATGCTGTTACATGTTTCATAGGACCTTGGGCTATTCCCAGGACCACGACTTTCCTGGAAGCGAATTGATACTGTTTACATGTTTGGTGGCTCCTTGTCTTATTCCTGGGAACAGGCCAATAAGTGTTTTCTCAATTATTGTCGGGTTCTGGGAACAAATCAATACTGCTTACACAATTAGTGCATCTATTGTTCTCAGGAAGAAAGTAATGCTGTTATGTGTTCGATGAACTATGTTCCTAGGAGCAAGCCAATGCCGTTTTTTGTTTCTCGTTTACGGCTCTCTCGATGCCAGGTACAAGGAAGGTGGCATTGCGACTTGGGGGTCACAGTGTTATGTCAAAAACCTTACATCTACTCGCTAGCTCTTATTATGGGAGATGATACCCCCCAAGCTTGCGGCGGTTATTGGACCAATGTCATTGTCCTTTGTTGTGGTGGCTTCGTCAGACTTCCGGAACCTTGCTTTGCTCTCCTGTTTCTTGTATCATGCTTCTAGGTTAGGTGATCAAAGTGGCCGCGTCATTTCGAGTGTACCTAATTATAGAAAATTCTTTGACGATTGGTTGGACAGCCTAGGCGCCTTAATTATGTCGGGGCGGATGAAACAGGACTAGACCATTTTTCTGCCTTCGGCCTAGACTTGGCACCTCATCGAAAGGCTACTTTTCTCTTTACCGATGTTTAGCCCTAGAGTTCCTTTCTAATGCGTATTCCTCCACATTAACTTGAGCGGCTCCAGAGCAACCCCATCAGTAGCGATTGGAAGCCACTGGCCTCAGCATCAGCCTCAGCCTTCGCAACGTGACTATCCGCACCCCCACAAGCAGAGACGCGCCGTGAGCGGAACCATCCTGTCACGTCTTCCATCTTGACTCCATCTCCTTACCACCGCACTCCTTCCTCGATCTGCCAAAGCATAGCATAACTTAGATGGCGATCTCTATGAGCCACTGAAATGGCACCGATAGCCCGTCGTCCCACTAGCTGAGACGATTTTCCCGAGACAATTATCTAAGCGTTCAAGGTGGAATACGATGCTATCTCTCTGGTGGACTGGGCCGAAACACGCAGTAGCATGAAACGATGGCATTTATCAGCGCCTACTTCCCCATAAACTTAGCAAAATATTATAAATTTATTACAGTACTCTTGGAACTCGTGACATTGAACGTGCTGGCGTGGCAGCGACTTCGTTCCCCACTCAAAACCCCCAATCTGGCAGTCCGTCCCCCCACCCTCGTAAAAAGCTGCCGGGTAATCTACGGCTTTAGTGCCCACCATAAGTGATTGAAGGTTGGATGTCGGTAAAATGTGCGGGGATTCAGCGTGGTAAAAAGGCATAGAATTTCGACCTCCGGTCATCATTCAAGTGTAGGTAGCATATAGAGAGCGCTAATCCGAGAGCAAGCTGACGCTCTAGACCCCATGAGTGCCGGTACCTATAACGACGACCCTCTGGAGCAAGCAGGCAACCTCGCCAGCTGGCTTGTTGGACTGGGCGACAACGATTGGGCGTCGTATCAAGGCAGCACCATAGAGCAGTGCAAACACCCAGGTCGAAAGGAGAGGATGATTGGCTTGATAAAGGCCAGCAAAATCGAGGTGAGCTCTGAACTTGAGTATCGAGCGCGTGATCGTTCATATTGCTGATGAGTCCCTCTGATAGACGGCTGGAAAGGTAGCCTTTGTCTTCCGGTGTCGCGGCCCATTCGTCGGTACCCTCGAGCCCACGCCACGCGAAACGTTTCCCGGCAATATCATACTCATCTCTCAACAAGGACCATCCGCCTTCTTCAAAGGCATCTTGACTAGACCGGGAGACAAACAGGAGATCGATGGGCCTGCCCACATTGAGGTCGGCGCTGAAGAAGTGGTGTTTTTCTTAGCAATATTCACAAAGGTGTAGAGAAGTCGAGCGTGTCTAGTTCAACACCGTAATATTCGAACGAGAAGTTGTTGCTATCTAGAAGCATGTCTGTCGTGTCCAAGTCAGCTCGAATGCTTCCTAACCTTGGAAAGCCTGCCGCGGGGGTAGAGCTTGGGACGCCAAAAAGGGTCTTACCATCACCAGAACAAGAACCTGCTGGATCAACCCTCTTGTTAAGGGTCTGAAAACTGCCCGTTCCTCCGACTCCATGCAAGTATGAGGGCAAAGAGTCACTAACGGTTTCCAGTTCGTTGGAATTCTCAAGCCTAGCCGTGGGTGGAGTTTGGGGTAGCACATGCTGGCAAGCCATGTCAGTGGCGTGCTGCGTCAAGGCCCTCCTTGCTCGTCTCTTGCACGGCTGTTCATCCTCCTCTATCGTCGTGGCGGCTTGTTCTCCGTCTCGATTCCTGCGTTTGCGGGGGGCAGGTCCGATACGGCATCTCATCGTTTTTGGGCGTTCCTTTGATGTGAAGACGACTTGGACGATGCGGAAGAAATCACTGTGTGGCCTCACGCAGAGCAGATGCGCGACCAATTCACTCTTGTGGTTTGGCGGCAATCTCTCAAGTAAGGCCATGACTTGGGCATTGTCAGATATCGCAACGGCACATGCTGCCAGCGTGAACGTGCCGCCGTAGGCAAAGAACTTGTCCTTCACCTTCTCAAAATCATCCAGGTTCGCAGGGCAGTTCATGAGGTAGAAAGCGGTTACAGCAGGTTGTCCCCCGACTTCTAAATGAGGCGCCATGGTGTCGGAGGATTGCTTGCCATCCAGAGAGACCTTACCGATGGCACTCTGAACAGCATCGACAAGCTGCGCCCCGCCGTAGTGCCAAAGCTGGGCCTCCCATAATGTTTCTTCAGTGCTATTTCGTTTGCATGAATAGACGACTGAGGACAGGCGATCCGGTGTTTTTGATCGCGCGCCTTCGAGAGAGACGCGAAATCTCTCCTGAAGTTGAATGAGAATCAAGTCTGAAGGAGAGAGCTGTACCAAGCCCAGGGCCTTGATCAATGCCGTGCGGAGAGCATCGGGCTGTTCTCTCGAGGCTGCTCTGATGTCAAGCGGAGTGCCTTCAACAGTGACTGTAAGAGCAGCAGAACAGCTACTAGAGGATTGGGCTTGGGTAGCCATGATGAGTACGAAAAGTGAAAGAGTGAGCTCGAGTCCGACCAGGAGGCAAATCTTGTTCCTCGACAGGATTCACGGGGGTTGAATCTCGCCATTTGACGGGATTCAAGGGGGCCAAATCCTGTTGAGTCACAGGATTCCAGCGGGTAAATCCTGCCAACTGGCAACATTCAGGGGGATCAAATCCTGTCACTTGACAGGATTCTTGGTGGGGTCTGAACAGGGATCTAACACGGCTCACTTCCGCGAAGTGGGGTGGGACCAGGTTTACATGGTGGGTAGCATGCATGTAAGCTGCTCATTGTAAGCCGACTGCACTCAGAGACAACGGTAGGAGCCTCGTTCGAAATATAGGGAAATCAGATGACGCGGTCCATCAGTCAGCCGTAATGATGAGCAAGAGGTATTTGAGAAAGAGCTTAAAGGTTGCATCAGGCAGTCTGTTGCCTCATCAGCTATCTTTGGCGCAGTTCACCTTGATTCGCCCTGACATTTCTTTGGCCAAATTGCCCCTTCCAACACCATCCTTCAGTGCTCCATAGTTTGCACCAATGTCAGCAGCCGCCGAGGTTGAAGTTGGCGATTATGAGAACGAATCGGATTACGGCGATGAGCTTTCAGTGATGAGCTCCTCCATAGACAGTTATATGCTTAGGTACGAGCAGAAACACGGGCGAACCTACCACAGCTACCGCCAAGGGTCATATAACTACCCAAACGACGAGCGAGAGCAAGATCGCCTCGACCTGGTTCACCACGCTTTCAAACTCGGGCTTCAGGATAAGCTTTTTCTTGCACCCATAAACCCGAACAGCTCTGATCTTAGGGTCCTCGATATTGGTACCGGCACCGGCCTATGGGCCATTGAATTTGCAGATGAGTACCCTCAGGCAACTGTCGTCGGCGTTGATCTCAGCGCTATCCAGCCTACATGGGTGTCACCCAATGTGAGTTTCTACGTTGACGATGTTGAAGAAGACTGGGAAGAGCCTACGAATTACGACTACATCCACTGTCGCTACATGGCCGGTGCCATCGCGGACTGGCCAGCGCTCGTACGCCGAATTTACAAGCACCTAAATCCCGGTGGGTGGGTGGAGTTTCAGGAAACTGTCAACACGCTTTACTCAGATGACGGAACTCTGGAGTCAGACAATGCTCTAGTGAGGTTGATGGAAAACCTCAAAAAAGTCCACGAAAAGATCGGCCGCACGCTCGATCCCGCCCCTGAGTTTAAGAACTGGGCATTGCGGGCCGGCTTCTACAACACTAACGAGCAAAGGTTCAAGTTTCCTGTAGGCCCGTGGCCTCGGGACAAGAGGTTGCGAGAGATCGGGGCTTTCTTGGGCGTAAACTTCATTGAGGGCGTTGATGCCTTCACAGCGAAGCCTTTCAGAGATCATTTAGGATGGTCAGAGAATCAGGTGGAGGTTCTGAACATGGAGGTTCGGAAGGATGCCAAACGCAGGGATTTTCATGCCATGTTCGATCTTGTTGTTATGACAGCGCAGAAGCCAGGACTTTAGCGAGTGAAGCTGGTATTCATGACCACAGCCAGCTAAGGTAAAATGGCCTCCTCAAATAGTTTGTTGATAGGGTTGAGTCAGCGATGAGCTGTTAATTTGGGCTCCTGAGGTCGCAGTTGCAGTTGAGTTATTTCCATCGACCCTCAGTTTTGTGATGTACGAACTAGACAAAGGCGTAGCCCAATAACTGAAGCGGGGCGCCTTGGCGATGGGCTGCTCGGGTGTCGTTGTGAGCAATCGCCCTTAACATCTCCATATTCTGACGGCGTTCTTCAGCCCATGAGTAACCTACCTTGTCGTTCTGTATCGATACCATGTCACTTGAGCGAGGCAGCGGCATGAATATAGCTGCAGTGATTGCATTTCAGTCTTTGCATCTTTACGGTATCCTTGTTTCCACCAACAACTCAAGAAATAGACAACTGGCGGTGAGTGAGGCACTGCAATGTTAGCTGGAAAGACAGCGGCTTCGACAGGGTTTGAATTGTGACTTTTCGGGTGGCTGCATGGACCCTTGAACGTGGCAATGTTGATTTTGATATGACAAGCCTGGTTGAATAGTACGAGGGCCTTGTAATCTGGCTTGGTATAACAGGGCTAGCACCTACCTCCATGAACGTGAGCACCAAGTATTCTACATTAGCGAAAAGCCAACCTTTCCAAACCTGCCTTATATCACAATGGTGAGCTACCCTGAGGCGATGACATCATGAGCATAATTACTTACTAAGGTTAAGGAAGACGCTTTGTTCTCAACCTCAGAAGGCTTGATCGGAGACGATATTATCAACAGACAGTTCCAGGGCCTCCCTAGGAAGGATCGCCTCATTTTAAGCAATAAGATGTTGATGAAAGAGAAGGAAAGGATGCGAGACATAGAGAAGGAGAGGAGGCCACAAGAGGAAGATAAGAGAAAGCCCGCGTTTCTAGTAATGAGGAATGAGCTGCGATGCAAGCGATGTACTGCCACAAGAAACAATGATGTGGCACAAAGCTTTGCTGAGGTTGCATATTGCCGCCCATGTCTTCTGGAGCTCGTCGACTCGGAAAGGAATTCCTGCGAGATTCACGCCAAGCGAGACTTCAACAATTAGGGTATGCTTATCGCCCATTATCACCCTTTCTCTCTAGAACATTCAAAGCGATGACAATCACCGTCATTTCTTTCATCGCAGAAACACCTACTTGCCTGCTTCAACAGTATCGTCCTGTTTACTTTCTTAGCATGTGTGCTGCAAAGCTGGAAGTTAGATATCATATCAAACTTTTACTGGGAATAATTAAGCCCTGACCCGCTTCCTTGCCAAATCATAGATTGCCGCGGATGTAGCGATGGAGTGGATAAGATTGAGGCTCAGCAGGACCCCGAGGTGGAGAGCCAGTAATGGTTGTTGATTGATAAGCCTTCGGATTGGCCTTGGAGGGGTAATCAATCTAGCCCTACCGGTACAAGATGTGTCCCAGTCTGGGCAGCAGGCCGTACGTACCTGGACGTCCTACTGTTGGTACAGATAGAAGAGTACCAAAGATGACCAATAGTTTAGGTGATCGAGGATGGAGCAGCCCTAAGGGGAGCCATTCCCCTCGTTTATCTGCTTGACTGCGCAAAGACTCCCGAGGGGTGCCAATAGGCTACTATTTTAGTCACTCATAGTTAGGTGGCAATATACTAGCCGGATATCTTGATTTAGGTGATGAGAGAGAGATGCTAATTGTAATTGGTTAAGATCCCTGCCATATACCCAATGGGAGTCTTCGCGCAGTCAAGGAGATATAACACCTCGGTCAACTGACACCATAACGGGCAGTGCCCTGCTCTTCAATCCCACCATTCTCTCTCTCCTAGGTTTCCATGACGCCTCATTGTATGGCATTTTTGCCCCCTTTCAGCAATCATGAGTCATCCAAGGGCCGTCGGCCAGTACGATGAGGTAGCTGCCCCTCAGCGACCCCCATTTCAATCATCATGACTGAGATCGGGTGCGAAAGACGGCGCAGTGGTTGCGGAAGCCGAGCGAAACCAGATCAGCCCGGTAGTGTGCGGCGACCTGCTGACGAGCCGCACGATACAGCCGACGCATGTGCTGTCTGCGAGTTGCCATTTCATCAGTCTCAGCGACATCATGCCGCCAGTTCATATTGTGCTCGGTAACCATGACCTCGCCTACCGTCGCGACTACCAGACTAAGGCCCTTAATGTCCTCAATATTAAACACCTGGTCCTGTATGTATTGCCGTATAGCGTTGTCGCTTACCATAAATGGGACAGCTAATGCGTCCTGCTACTGCCGTTTTGCGAGGAGCAAAATGAGCTAATGGAGGTTATGGCTGCTCTAGGCCTTGATGAGGTGAGCAGGATGGTTTCCTTTACCTATCTTGCAATTAATAGTGCCGGCATCGATAAGCCTTGCGCAATAAACTCTATTACACACTGCGGCTTGATGAGCCCGAATCGGTTTGCCTCTCTAGCTCGAACGTTCATGGAGCATTTCTACAGCTATCAGACTATCACCTAGGAACAATCTGATACCAGGTTGTCTAGACAGACTATAATGTCCCGTGCCGCTGATCCTGGGAGGTTCAAAGCGGCCTTGAGGCCGTCCAGTGCTCCTGTAGCTTCAGCGTCAAAGACCTCGGCAGGTCGAAGACGGCCCGAGCCGTCGTAGATGGAGAGGCCCTTCTGGTGAATGGCGAAGCCATAGCAGGCTGCTCCCTCCGCGGACAATGAGCCATCTGAGTATACGATCCAGGTGGTTAGGTCTCCTCCGATTCCTCTTTCGGGGCTGCCTGTAAGGGTGTATCTTGTCCCTTGCCGAAAAAATTTCTGCATGAGGGCTGGTCGTGGACAGGGTGCGAGCAGTTGGAGCTTGGTACTTCCGCTTGATGAGCTGATGGTATGTGGGTTGCCTGGGTGGAAGCGTGCGCTCCACGAGGGGGTTGGTCTCATCAAGGGATTTGAGGCGGGCGGAGAAACGGTATCGACGTGCTTCAAGAAGCTGAGTGATAGGTGGTATCCCGCTTTCCCGATGGAGGATGGCGATCGGTGTCGTCTTCCAGGCAGGGAGTATAGCTCGCATAGATTGAACTATAGCCATGTTCATTCTCTGCAAGAGATGAGGAATACTACACGGCTGGTCTTTACACGTTTGGTCCCACCGCGGTCGGGTTGCCTCTAGATACCATACTTCGGTGCCGTAGAGCAGGACTGGTTCAATGCAGGCCCTGGCGGCGCTCCGTACAGCGCTGGGAAGCGGGCCGTGTATCGTGTTGGCGAGTCCTCGCAGATGGTAGGCGACAGCATGTGACTAAATTGATCTTGCTGATCCACCCATTGCCTGGATCGTGTTTAAATGTCGTCAGCATGGGCGAGCGGCCCGTTCCTTGCCCACTACTCTGAGGATGGACCTTGATAAGCGTGCCTTGCACAGTCCGCGACGCGCTAAAGCCAAGTTTTGCGGGTAGCAGGAGGCATTCGCCGCGGATATGGATGGGAGCAAGCGAAGCGCCGTTGTGGAATCTAAGCCTTGTACCTGCTCCTCCTTAGTAACAGCTGCTGCCAGTACCGTACGTACTCGACAAATTCGCACACCCGAATGCCTCTTTTAGCATAATCTAATTGGTTAGAGGCCTTGAGCCTTGTCCAATAGGCCGTCTCGCGCTTTGTGGGAATACAAGGGCTTTGATGGACCAATCATTAGCGAAATGCCTCGGCAGGAAGCCAAGCGTGACTCTGCCACGCCACGGCCTCGTTAGGCATCCGCAGTGGTACCTGTTGACGGATCTCCATTGCACCGTAGCGGAAAGAATGCTCAAGGGGCGTTCATATGGAGGTTCCCTGGGCGGGGAAAGCGGTTACCGGGAATAGAACGGTCGGAACAACCGTGATCTCTGGGAAGATGGGGCCTAGCTTGTTTGGGAAAGCGAAATTTCAGGCCAGAAGATTATTGCATGCTGCTCCTCCGAGAACTCGACTCAGCTCTTTCATCACCAACACCTTCCCCGACACCGTCTCGGCCTGCATCCCAACCAACCTCTCAACCGAGTATCCCAGCCAACGCCTTCTCCACCCACCTTGACGGGTTTCCGACACCTCGACATAACACTTAGGCGCTGCGCAGACGTTCCCTCGGGCTTTGGGGACGTGTGACAACCATGACCGTTTACGTGCCGTGGCTGGCGCCAAGTCAGCGTGATCTCTCATCAAACCACAGACTGTCTCTCTATTGGATTGCAGCCCGATTGTGTCCAGTGTTAGGGCAGTATCCCAATTGACGTCGCGCATCTGGCCGATATCCAATTGGTGTGATTGGGTCGGCGTGGGTCCGTTCCTGCTGCATCACGGTGGTTGGTTTCGGCTCGCCTGGCAGGGCGGTAGCCATACGGTCTGCCTTGCAGCGGTTGGAGCGATGCCTTCGCCTGTCGCCTGTCCCCCACTCCGTAAGCAGGTAAAGGCCTGAGGCACCTCCTCAAGGTCTTTGCGGCGACATTGCCTCTCTGTCGATTCCCTACCGTAGCCGATGTCCTTCTCTACCTACAACATCGGATAGCTCATTACGACCACAGCGATGCCCGGTCACGATATTCGACTTCTCGCCCTCGATGGCGGCGGTGTTCGCGGCCTGTCGTCTCTAATGATTCTGCAAAATCTCATGTCTACTATCGACCCTGACGCCCCGCCCAAGCCATGTGATTACTTCGACATGATCGCTGGCACCAGCACCGGCGGCTTGATCGCCATCATGCTAGGCCGCCTCCGAATGACTGTCGACGAATGCATCGCTGCCTACTCGTCGCTATCCAACAAGGTGTTTGAGAAGAAGAGCCACAGAGTCAAGATCAATGGCCAGCTGCAGGGGAGATTCGACAGCGCAGCGCTCGAGCAGGCCGTCAAGCAGACCCTGGCGGACAGTGGCCACAGCAAGGACGCTCTTCTCAAAGATTGCTCTGACGATGCCTGCAAAGTGTATGTTCGCAGCACCCTTCTGATTGATGTTCCAGCACTGAACGAACCAAAGCCTCGTCTGCGCGACGAGCAAAGAGACAGGAGACACGGTGTGCCTGACCAGCTACCGCCCCGCCCGCGGGGTCGCTCACCTGTACGACTCCACCACGATCTGGCAAGCCTGCCGGGCTACATCTGCCGCGACCACTTTCTTCGATCCGATTGCCATCGGGCCTTACCAAGAGCAGTTCGTCGACGGCGCTCTAGGAGACAACAACCCTGTCTACACGCTCTGGACCCAAGCCCAGGACGTTTGGGGCGAGGACCAGTTGCGGAGCCGTCTGCGGTGCCTGGTGTCAATCGGTACGGGCGTACCCGCGCTCAAGCCCGTGCGCGATGACGTTCTGGGCATCAGGGCCACGTTGACAAGCCTTGCGACGGAAACAGAGAAGACGGCGGAGCAATTTCGTCGCGACAAGTCGAGCCTCGACGACGAAGGTCGCTACTACCGCTTCAATGTCTCTCGCGGCCTCGAGCATGTCGGCTTGGCAGAGTCAAAGAAACAGCGCGACATTGCAGCGGCGACTGGACGGTATGTCGCGTCGCAGGATGTGTTTAGACAGATGAAGGCGTGCGCCAACGGGCTTGCGCGAAGGCAATGTTAGTCATCCCTAGTATTGCAGATTATATACAACGTTCCAATCTGGTCATTGTAGCATCACTAACCAGCCGTCCCAAGATTTTGGCCCTTTCAAGACACCCTTCAACCTGGACGGTGTCCCCGCATCGGATAAGTTTGTCGCTAGGCCGGCCGACACGATCGAACTGGAGAACTGCCTTCTCCCGCAGCGATCACATGCCCGACGGACAGGCAGGAAAATATTTGTCCTTTTCGGACTCGGCGGTGTAGGAAAGACGCAGCTATCCATTGATTTCGCCCGACGCCACCAGGCCGCTTTCAGCTCGGTCTTCTGGCTCGACGGCAGATCGGAGGACCAGCTGAAGCGAAGCATCGCCGGCTGCATATCTAAGATCCCCAAAGACCAAGTTCCAGAAACCAGCCGACGCTGGACGGACAGTCGCACTTATAGCCAGGATGAACTCGACGACGCCGTGGCGAATGTGATGAAGTGGCTTGAGCAACCTGACAACTGCGAATGGCTATTGATCTTCGACAACGTCGACAAAGATTGGATCGGTCAAGAATCTGGAATGGGCGCTTACGATCCGAGGCGGTACCTACCTGGCGATCATGGGTCGGTGCTGATCACGACACGGCTTTCTCATCTGGCACAGCTGGGTGAGTCTCGAAGGTTAGGTCAGGTCAACACGGCCTTGGGCAAGGCCATACTCGAAACATGGTTTGGCGGCGAACTTGGTGAGTGTTTATGACCCGTTTCTCTGCAACTTCTATACGATTGTAGCTGAGTCTTACGTTGTCGCAGGTCCGGATTGCGCCAACCTCCTAGAGCTGCTGCACGGGCTGCCACTTGCGCTGGCGCAAGCAGGCTCGTATTTAAGGGAGAAGAATATCGACCCCACAACGTATGTGCGAATCTATAACGAGCAATGGGACGAGCTGATGCGTCCTCACGACGCATCGAACCGTCCACTCTTGGATTACAACCAGGGAAGCGTCGGGACAACGTGGACCATTTCGTTCAAGGAAATCGAGGGTCAGAGCCCCAGTGCTGCCAAACTACTGCGGCTGTGGTCTTACCTCGACAACAAGCAGCTGTGGTATGGCCTGCTAGCAGTGACAGCAAATGGTAGAAGACCGCAAGACCGGTGGCCCCAATGGCTCAGTGAGATAGGCGGCAACGAGGTGCGATTCCTCGATGTAGTCGGGCTACTGCTTCGGTACTCGATGATCGAAATCCACCAAGGATCGAAAGACGGCTATTCGATTCACCCGGTAGTTCACCAATGGGCGTCGTACTTAGACGGGCAACGACAGGAGGACGAGTGGGCAAGGCTGGCCCTCGCCGTGGTGGGACGGTCGGTGCCCGCGAGGGAAACGAGGGAGTACTGGGTGGTGCAGCGAAAACTGATTCCACACGCCGAAATGGTGCGTAGATGGATACAAAAGGCGGTGGGCAGGTGGTATATCGGAGACCAGTTGGTGATAGACTCACTACATATGCTGGGGATGCTCTACGCGGACCAGGGCAAGCTTCCAGAAGCGGAGGCGATGTATAAGCGAGCATTAGAAGGGAACGAGAAGGCGCTTGGACGGGATCACACATCGACCCTCGATACAGTCAACAACTTGGGAAATCTCTACGCGAACCAGGGCAAGCTTCCGGAAGCCGAAGCGATGTATAAGCGAGCATTAGAAGGGAGGGAGAAGGCGCTTGGACGGGATCACATATCGACCCTCAGCTCAGTCAACAACTTAGGAATTCTCTACGCGGACCAGGGCAAGCTCCCAGAAGCCGAAGCGATGTATAAGCGAGCATTAGAAGGGAGGGAGAAGGCATTTGGACGGGATCACACATCGACCCTCGATACGGTCAACAACTTGGGAAATCTCTGTGTGGACCAGGGAAAGCTTCCAGAAGCCGAAGCGATGTATAAGCGAGCATTAGAAGGGTACGAAAAGATCCTTGGACTAAGTCATCCCAAGACGTATACTGTTATACGCAACTTGCAACTTTTGTACTCCAGCCGAGGTACGAGGTCGCTCAACCATGATTTTGTGTACAAATGCCTAACGACAACAGTAAATGCGCCAACCAGGCCTGGAAAGAATGGCCCAGTTAGTTAGTGTGACAGGTTTTTGGAAGACTATTGACTAAACTTCGTAACATCATCTCGTTTCGCAAGAGGTCACCACAATACCAAGAGTCAATATTTGGCACACAAGACTTCACTCTATACATGATCAGATTTGGTCACTCTGGAAATTCGGAGGCAAATAGATTGTCTCCTTATTGATACCTCCACATTCGTAAACAAAACCTCCTATCAATCAGAACTGGGGATGTATTTGAGTTTAGTCGAGTACCGGACTTGAATCGTGCCCACAGAACGGTGTGGAAGGGCGCGCTGGATGTCGACCCAAGATTTGCCTTCTTGTTTCATCCTGAGTACAGTATTGTCCTCGTCTGGCGTCCATCTTCCGCCAGATGATTTTGCAGGCGAGTGCAGAGTCTCGGGCAGCCTTCTGCGGTTCCTGATATGCGATATGGATTTACCAGCATTCCGCTGACATGAATCGTGGTCCCATTTCAAACTGTAATTGGAATGTCGTCTTACCGCCCTCAGTGATGCGCTTGAGCAAGACATCTCTGAGAGACCATTCCTCGAACTGAGCAAGAAACATGCTAGCTTCGGACGGGGCTGGCGTTGCTTCTGGTGTTCGGATATCGCTAGGTAACTGCGCGGTACGTGTTGTCGATTGTCTTTTGCGAGAGCCCCGAAAGTTGGCGGCGGTACTGCGGACCGAACAGGAAGTGGATTTCGAAATCTTGCGACGCTTGCAACCCTGGTGGACATCATCTAAATCATTGTCTTCCGAGCCAGAATCCTCAACATCTGGGAGATAAGAAGAGTTCTCCTCATTATGTTGAGATTCTAACCTGTCAAGACCGTCCTCGTTCCCTGAGTCTTCACTGTCTGCGTCACCGTCCTCAAACTGCATGGTTTTATGCATCTGCGAGGATTTGTGGCGGAAACGACGAAGTGACGGCAACGTGGAAGACACTTCGGCATCGGAACTACACACAACCTTCGTGGCTTCAGACTCGACATGGGTGGACGCGCTGCTTGTATCATCCGAGGCTTGCCCTTGACACGGTCCATCAGAGGATGTTGCGGGAGATGGGGCGCGGGCTTTAGGAATGGCATCTTCGTATGACTTGCAGGTGGGTATTTCGTTTTCCTGGAATGGTGCCTGGACCACTTCGATGGGGCTCGCAGTCTGGGGAGAGTGTGCGCCAGTTGAAGGGGAATCCTGATGAGGCTGGGAGCTATGACAAACGTCATAGTCAGAGACAGCATCGACCACCGTGTTGCTCTCTTGACTGGCTGGTTCAGGTCGGAGCTGTTTCCCGTCTGCCGCAACTGGGTATGGTTGACTTTCAGGGCTGGTAGGAGGGGTTGCAAAATTGATATCTTGACACTCAGTGGACGTGTTCCGTCCACAAGACTGTTGGCTCAGTCCAGCATCAGCGAGGTGAGAGTCACTTGGCTCATTCGGCCAACCTAGGGCGGCATCCACTTGAGTCGGGGATACTGCTGACGCAATGTTCGCGCTGATGGTAGCTTCTGACTCAGTTGCGCCATATTCGGTGACAGTTAGATCTACACGTCGGTTGTCAGAACCTTCCACCCAAGAGGGGCCCCATAGCCTCGATGACTTACCTAAATAATCCACAGTGCTGGTAAGTGCTGTAAAAGGTGGCGAACCATCGAGTTCTTGACTCGCATCGTCTTCATCTTCAGTATCAGACTCGACATCAGAGGGAATACAAATCGCTGTGTCCCTAGATTTTCCAAGAGCCGAATGCGCCTCCTTGTCATGTAAAGATGCCGTGCCTGGCTGAGAGGCAGGAGGAGTGAAGCTCTGCAACAGCTTCCGCTGCTCAGAGTCAATAATCAACGAGGTCATACTTGAGTTGCAGTGTGTAGGGAGGGAAAGAGTTAAGGGGCTTGGTGTTCGCAGTATGGCCAGATTGAAGATGAAGATAGACGGGCATTGTCCGGCTTATATGCTCGCAGCTGAACCATGCGGTCAAACAAGTCCTAACCCTTCCAGGAGCCGAGCCCGGTGTCGTCGTGGTGCCTCTCCTCGTTTTACAAGATCACGGTGGTTTGGATACGGGTAAGACACGTAACCGCTTCTCGCTCGTGCCAATCACTTCACTGCCGGGCCACACTTCTCGCATATCACCAGGGATCCACGCCACTCGCTGGCAAGGCAGAGTTCTCAGGAGATACCAGATGAGGCAGGTCATGATGGGTGTTGGACTGTTCACACACGACGCGTCACTTCCAGTTGGTCAGACAGCACCGGGTAGGAAGTTCCCCGGGGCACTAGCTCTTCCGTCTGATCGTGATGAAGCTCGACGCTACGCCCGCGCATGTCGATCGTCACAGCCAGGAACCTTTTGGGCCATTCAGAGAGAGCTTGAGATGCAGTCATGGACGTCTCATGATCCCGCAACAGCGAGACTAACGGAGGTCGCATGCGTGCAACACCAACAGCTCGCCGTAGTGCGCGCGTCCCTCTCCTCCTTCTCACTCAACCATACCTCTCGGCATGCTGACTTGCCCCGTTTCTAAAGCGCCTGAGCCACCCCGATCCGCACGGAAACGGGTGAGCCGAGGACCAACAGGAAGTAATCAAGGAACTTCCGCCCAAGCGGCGGCTAGTCTTGGCAACCCCTGAACAGGGAATTGGTGTCTCGGGCCCCGTCAAGCCACCCGTGATCAGACGCTTCACACTCTCTACCCGCTGAGGGAACCAATCGGGGAGCAAGTTTGTGCCAGAGATCTCCGGAGCCACTCGTATCAGGTTCAGGAGGCGAGTCCGAGATGGCACCATCCTCCATCATGCAGCAGGGGGCATTGATAAACCGGCTGCGGCATTTCTGCCATTGTATGGGCGTCAACTGGAGGCCTCACAAGGGAAAACATTGCCGTGAGATACTCTGCTACAGCCTGAGAAGCATCACACCACTGTGAGGCGGCCCTACCTGGGGAACTGTCTCTAGACTGTTGGCGTTGTTAGATTCTGAGAGAAGAAGATGGGAAAGGAAGCCATACGAGACAAACAGTAGAGTTAGGTAATAATATCAGAGGGCAGAATGGAAAACGAATGCTAGAACATGTCTCATTCCCTCCACAATCAAGCTTTGGGATGCAAGCATCGCGAGAGAACTGCGTTCCAAATCAGAACAATGACGTGGCAGGACGGGCCAAGGGAGATGGGCTGAAGGCAGCGATGATTGCGGAAAATGGAGACTAGTGGATTCAAATGGACAGAGCGTGGGAAGAAGCAGAGGTCAAAGATACATGTTGGTAGGGTCAGAGGAGGTTCTTGTCTTATATACAGGGAGTCACGTGATGCTAGGTCATGCCGCACACCGGCACGCGCGTCTTGCCTGTTTGGGCGGTGCCGCTAAACCAGAGGCGGCAGCAGCGTGTCCGCGATTACTCCTTCATCAACAAGGGTGCATATCGGAGCAAATCACCCCAGCCAGTTTTTTGTCCTACCGTAGAACAAACACAATGCCATCCTCCCTGCAGAAAGGAGACGCCATAATGGTGAATTCCTGCTGGAGCGCGCGAGGCATCCAATGACAACGGGCCACAACCGACAAAAGTGAATCGGTCTAAGAAGGCGATAGACAGCCAGATTTCGCAGTGGGATATGCGAGAAACCTGGTAGAATGAAAATTGCCAGCTATGAGAAGCCACATCGATCGCCCTGCGCAATTGCTTACATGACCAGTAAACTTCCTCATGACAAAAAGGTCAATGACTGGTGAATTTTTAGGCATCAGCAGAGAATTTCCAGAGTGACTGGCGAGTTTTCATTTACTCGCTCACTCTACAGTACCAGCGAGCATGAAGTGACTTCCCAGTAACTACTTTATGAAAGATTTTACGTCATGAAGCCGTGAAGTCTTGGTAGTTGCCGCCAACAGTGGCCAGCGATTACTGGTAAGCGCTAAGGATCCACGCAAGTTCATTCCCGGGCACCCCTGCCTGACACTGATGCCCCAAGTAGCAAAGGGAATTGCTTGCGCCATATTTCTCTCTTTTTTTCTTCATTTCTTACCTTTCTGGTGCCCAAGCCTTCTCAGGTGCTCTTGAATAGTTCATACATAAATATGACAAGGAGGATGAACGAACTATACAGTGCTGAACACCTCTACCTTCCGCTTCAAAAGAATATTCTCTTTAGAAAGTCCAGAGTGGAGACAATTTGCTGCAGGAATTTACCTAGTAAGCAATTATTTGTCTGAATTTGGCTGTATTATGCGTGCGTAAGCATTTTTTGAATGCGTGAAGGAAGTACATAGAAGTAATGTTGCTGCCTAAAAAATCTGGGTGAGTGGAGATAAGTCAGCAGTGGGAGATAGAAGTATTCTCTTTAGGCCTAGACCCGGTAGGTACTTTGAGAAGCGAAATATAAACTAAGTCTTAGCCTGCGTGTCTATGGTATATATATGTGAGATGGGAAAACATCCTTTATTGAGAGCTATTGTTGTAGGACAGGAAGCTATCGGTGTTCAATACTGTATGTATACAGGTTACAGTACTGTATAATATAATTTAAGTGTATTACTCCAGGTAGGCTAACGTCTAAAAGGCTATAGTAAAGTTCGAAATCGGCTAACCCTTTTCTCTGTCTTTTATTAATACTATATAGGAATTTAAGCCAGGAGCATATTAATGACATAGTTGCTTGGTAATATCAATGCTTACAGCTTATATATATAATCAAAAGCTAAATATAATTACTCTATAGTAGACAATTAATTTTACAGTATCCTTTATCTCTATATACATACTTATACATAGTACTGTATTAAAGAAAAGCTTAAAACGCAAGAATAAGTATATTATCCACTTATAGCCAAGTGCAGCAGACTTTAGCTTCGGGGTGCAGCGCCAAAGTGCTATAGGCTGCCCCATCACAGGTTAATCATAAGGACACGCCAAGTACAGTATGTTGAGTTATTACTATATTCACCCCGTAAGCATTATTCGTGCGCTAGAAACTTAAATGTGTACTGTATGTGAATGGATAACCAATTTCAATTTTTACTGTACAGCACCCCTTAGCTCGTTTTATATATACCCCACCTATACTCAAAGACCCCCCCTTTCAGATGAGCTTAATACAATCAAAGTCTCCCACGGTCTTTGAGCTTCGTACAGTAGTACACTTGCAGACCTGAGCTGCATCGTCCTGGGAACGTTGAGCAAAACGCCCACGAATCTTGACCCACCCAAGCTGCTCCTCTTCCTGTAGTTCTATGGGGAAGTCATCGTCATCGTCTGAATACTTTGCCCATCTTACGGGAGCTCGTTTGGGTGATTGATTGGCAATAACCGAACCGGTTGAACCTGCACACTGGGGCTTGCGGATAATTTGCGCTAACGGGTCACTCAACCCAAAATTCAAACGTAATCTTTCCATTTTCGGCTATGCGTTTCATTGAAACATTCTCGAGCTACTGACCAAGAAACGCACGAGCATCAGAGGGAACAGATCTTGCACGAGACGATGCTTGACTCAACAGGGTGAGTGCCGCCATGTCACAGTCTCGCAATGGGCGTGCGACAGCTCTTGCGAATCTTTTCCTTTCCTTAGAATTCTGATACTGGTGGATATGATATAAATCATTGTCTTCTGAGCCAGAATCTTTAGTATCTGCAAGGGAAGAGTTCTCTTTATGGTATTCCGATCCTAGCCTGTTAAGACTGTCCTAATTCCCTGAGTCTTGAATGCCTATATTACTGTTCTTAGACTGTACAGTTATACATATTCGTGAGGATTTGTGGTAGACATGATGAACTGATGGTAATATAGAGGATATTTTAGTATCAGAACTATATCTAGCCTTCGAGCCTCAAGCTTAACAGAGGTAACTCAACATTTGTTGTAAAAAGTACAACCAAACATATTTTTCATATAAATTCAAAAAAGCCTATGCTACATTATAAATGGATGGTTTTATTTAACCGTAGAACCAGTAATAAGCTGTGTAAGGGACGCTATCGATTCCTTTACCCTTGCAGCCGTAGGAAGACCCACCTGCCGTCAGGACACGGTAAGCAAGAGAAACCCCGTGGCTGCCACCAGCATCTCCTAGGTAGAGCCAGTCAACAGCGCTAGTTCCTCCAGGGCCAGTGGGAGTAGATGCAGGGGCCTTAATGCCGCTAATCCTTTTGGCAATCAGGAGTTGATTGACCGGATCCAGGTCGAATGTAGGGATCCCGGCAGTGGTGAAAAAGTGGTGGCCGAGGTAGGGAATGTTCTTGTTCAGATTCTTCACCTCGAGAGATTCTTTCTTAGGGAAAGGGTTGGTTGGTGAAGCACCGCCATTCTCAATACGATTCAGGGGGACTTTTTCGGTGTTGAGAATATTAGAAGGAAGAAAAGTCCATTCCTCAGGTGTTACATCCGAACTATGTTGACCTGGGTAGAGAAAAGTAGCATCATACAAAACAGCTAAAGCACCGGCAGCGACAGGAGTAGCGCCAGTGTTAGTGCAACTATAGTTCTGAATTCCGAAACCAAGGGCGATATGTTTTAGGGTTACATCTTGAGGAGGGGCAGGGAGCTCAGAAGCTTTGAGTCGAGTGGTAAGTTACGAGAGAATGTAAAAAGCTGACGTGGAATAAAGACTTACGGCCACCATTAACGGGAAGAATAGGCATAGAATCCCCATACTCGCAACTAGGCCTTTGACCATGACTCCGAGTAGGCGAAGCCAAAGCTAAAGCTGCTGGGGTGAGAGCAAGAAGAAGGTTAACGAGCATAGCGAATAGATTGTTATAAGGTGATTTGTTGTAAGTTTCTCGCCCGGTCACGGCCCAAAATTGTGAAGAAAAAAAATCTGCTAGGAAACAGACGAGCAGTAAAGAGCGGAAGAGCGTGGTTATATGTTAAGAAGAAAGGTGACGAGTAAGGAAATCACATGAGTAAAGTGCTTCCACCGATATGGGTTGATTATCCGCCATGACATTGTAATATTCTTTCTAAGCATCAATACAGTGCCGGCCGAAATTAGAGGCCGCCCTGGCTTTTTACAAAAAGTTTCCGAGCATGGACCATGTCAAAGACGTGGCTGGCATAGTACAGATAGCGGTTTCGCGCACCGTCATGAACTATGGTTGCTTATTTCTAGAAGGTCACCATGTATTAGTCTCGACCCTAATATATAAACGAGCTCAAGAGAATAAGGTATAAACCTTTTCTGGATACATATCGCATACAGAGGCAATATGCTGACTTTCTTACAGCTATAAGCAATCATTTTGGACGGCTGTAAGCCATAACAGTATGACGACATTCCCTACGTACTGTAAAAGCCACACTAGCCACAAATGACCCATGCTCAGAAACTTCTTGTAAAAAGCCAAGGCGGCCTCTGATTTCGGCCGGCACTGTATATCCTTTTTTGAGTAACTTGATCTGCTTATCTCTGAGACGGCTTCTGATACCTCAGGCAGCTGCAAATAAGTTTACTGGTTGAGTCATCACAAAATCATATTATTCTGTTTTTATTTAGGAGACTTGTCCTTTTTGAGACTATGCGCATATTACATTCCAAAAGCTGAAGTACCGGGGTTATCTGTGTAACCAAAACGCTTTGGATGAAACATCTCTTCCGTAAAAACGAGTACGGGTACTGTGGCGTAATGATACATCACATGTAAGCATCGGCCACACGCACTAGTTCCCGGTTTTGCTGTATCCTTCCTATCCACTAGATTCTAGGTATAGTACTAAACAGGTCTGTGGATCTGCTTGCTTGGTTTTCTGTTAACCCGAGGCCGCAGCTGTGCATTCTGTTCATATCCCACCATTTCATCGGCGAACGTCAATACGGCGAGCGACGGCGAAGTAGAGCGTTTTCTGTTTGGGTCTTTGTACCTCTTATCGTGTGTCTTGTTCTCATATGTTCGCTCCAACTTGGGCGGTTGCTCGGCGCTCGTCTGCTCACCGCAGCACCCTGAGTTTCGGTAGTGAATTTGATCAGATACTGAGAGTCGCGAATCATCCGTTAACGCGAGTTCAGCTCGTTCACGGAACTCCTCGATCTTGGCTCGTACCTCAGCAGCAGCGATATCAGAGACTGAAAGCTGCGGACTGTGGTTGTTGTTTACCACGCTTTGTTTTTCAATCCCTATTACGACATTACGTAAATGGACTCGGGACGGCTTAAGTGGCAAACAAAACTCAAGGCTGTTATTGTTGACGGTGCCATCGAAGTTCTCGCGGCAGCCGCATCCGATGCAGTCGTCAAAATAATCGTCTGTAACTGCATCTGATTCGTAATTGTATAAAAACGTAGATGCAGTGACCTCTCGTGTCTGTTCTTTCTCTTCTTTACAAAAAGACATAATTAGATTGCCTGGTGATCAGGGGTGAAGGTTTTCGCCAGCAAGGCAAGCAAATATGACACAAATTGCTACGCCCGGTCGCTCGTTTCAGCCGACAAGGCGTCTATCAGTGATGCTTTACAGCACATATATTGTTTCGAACTAGAGAATGGCTTAGTTAGACACGCGCGTAGAGTCAGCTTTCAGCGCATGAATCACCGCGGGGTATGTCGCTGGTAGCTGACGGTGGATCTTCCGTAAGCCAGCCGCAACCTGTATCGCGCCACTAAAGATCTCTACGGCGTGACCTCAGATAACCACGATCACATGATGCTTATGAGTTTCTAAGATCGAAACTGCATTTAATTACTGGAATGAATCAGTGGCCCTACTATAAAGGCACTACACCCAGCTGTTAGGTTCTGGAAAGTGACTTAAGCCAGTGCTCCTGCATACTGTACGGCCCACTGAATTAACTTAAATAGGACTTGGATGAGGTACTGTATATTGTCAGACAATACGTGTATTCGGTTCATTGATGTACATCGGTGCATTCCTGTTATGTTCTGTTGAAATCTTCCCCTTAGAGGTTTTACCATTGCATCCGTAATCTTAAAGTAAGTATGCTCGTAACACGTGAGGCCCCAGCACCTGTTCAATATATGTATGGTACACACACACACACATAAGTCTATTACGCCCGGTAGGCCGGCGCCTAGAGGGCTCTGAAGCTAAGGATATATACATCTCTCTCATTATTGCCTTACTCTTGCTAAACCTATAAGAGTTTTGCCTTATTCTTTCTAGTCTAGTTATCACTCTTTTCCTTTACTGTCCTAGATGTTAGTAGTAATAAGTTCACTTAAAGCCTATTACCTCTAAGTGTGTAGTTTGCTGTTTTTGGCGGCTAAAGCAATACTTACTTTTAGTTGTTTGAAGGGTAGCTGCTGTTAGATAAGTTTAGAATCAATAGGTTAGTGGTGTTCCTATTATCTCCGTTCCAAGCGACCTATAGCCACCAGTTACTGTATGGTCTATAATCTCGGGATCTTAAATGAACTAAGCGGGAATCCTGTTTTGGCTACAGTATTCAAATGCCCTAAGCAATTGATTAAACCTTAATCTGTACCTGCACGTCCTGAATGCTTTATGCCTACAATATGCAGTCAATTTGATCTACTCAAGCGCTAGGTAGGTTCTAGCTCTACATACAGACAATTTCAATTCACAACTCTAACCTGGCTAACCTGATTATCCCATCTATACCCCTAATTAAACAGATGGCCTAGCTTACAGCCTGAGCCTTTAGTGCAGTAGCCTAACGAATGCGCCAGCATATGCCAACGATCTTCCCCAACGCTTTGATTAAGAAGAGTGATTGGGGTAAAACCAGGTATCTCAATAATTATGCATCCGTCATGTTCAAAGACTGGTGTAACAACATGATTCTTGCCTTGGTATACAGCCACTTCCAGCTGTTTTGGTGGACCGCTATGAAAGATCTCTCCACTTGCGTGAAAGATGGATGCAAATAAGGTATGACTAATATCCAGTCTGAAACCATCAAATTGGATTTCTAATTCATGTTGGGCGGTTCTGCTAGAGAGTAGAGATTGCTTGATCTTGGTAATGAGGTCTTTCCGTGCAACTTCATTGTTTCTTAGACCGCCTCTCTTTACTGTCTTGTCCTTTGGAGTTGCTATCAGAAGATATCCATATGACCCCAGGAATACGAGAATAGGGGTTTGTCCATGCGACAGAACTTCATCTGCCCATCCAAACTCATTCCAGAGACGAAGCCAATGTCTCATATTCTCTATTCCGGGCTTGCCTATAATTTTCTTAGCATTCTTCGAGGTCCAAGAGAAGCGGAGAAGGTCGCGGGGATTGAGTCCCTTAGTGATCATATGCAAGATATCATCGTTGAGGTGTGGCATATTAGAGATGTCTAGGAGTTGCTTGAAGGGAGAAAGGGATAATGCAAAATTTTGTAATTATGTGTGTAGTATACCGTACATATACCGTATAGCTGTTAAAGTATGATGAGCAAGGCTATATTTGAACTATAGGTGAGAATAATTCTTTGATGTAAAGGATAGGATAATTTTCTGCCACAAAGTGGCATTGAACCTTTTAAATACAGATGTATGCTGACAATGATGGTTACTTACACAATACTAGTATATATGAGAAGACTAATGACAGCCCAGTCAACCTGGCCCCGTCCGCTAAAAATAACACTCGGTTGATAAGCAGATGGGCGTGAATGACTAGAATTGATTTCATTTAGTACATTATGTACAGCATCTCTTTCCACTGCTTGATGTTGCATTGTGCCACGCGATAAGCTTTTCCGGCATTGAGATATCTTCTACTCACGAATGACTCGGTAATCGAAAAGGCCAATACAACTTCTCCGCCGATACTGTACAGTACTGTCAATGGCTGCTGAACTTCCTATTGTACAATCGGAGGTTTGGTGACTCGCAGGTTCTTATTAATTCGCTCAACATTGGCCAGTCAGCACGGAAAGATTTCTCAGTATTCCAGGGGGTTTACGGCACAGCATTTATATAATATAAAAACGAACGTAAGATATATATATGTACAGTACATACTGTACTATACAGTACCAGCCTTTACTAACTCTAAGTAGATTGTGTTTTCTTGGACTTATGACAGCGGTAGACTCTACGTGTACGAAGCTAAATGATTGATGACGCCGAATATCTACACCCCTTGTGTACTTCCCTCTTACAGTGCCTCCCAGGTTCAGTTACCATACAATACATAGTAGGACATTTGCTACACAGTGCATCGTATCATGGGTGAGGCAAGCGTGCGTCCTTTGTCGATTACCGGGTCAGCCGTCAGTAAAGGGCACCTCAATGCCGGAAAAGGTTCCTTAACATATGGTGCAATACGTGTGCATCCATTCGAAGAGTGGTTACGGTTATACAATCAGTTGTCGCCATTTACACTTATATCCCTTGGTGGTTGAATCCTGTTTTTAGTGGACGGGCTTAGGGTGAATGAACTGTTATCTCCTATGTAATGCATAATGGCCGAAAAGGGCTCTAACTTACTGCCCAAATGGGACCTGAACTACCCTGATTCCCAGTTACGAAGCAAAAGAGACTATTACTGTACAGCACCATGGCCACCAGCCAATTGATCCATCTCACTCATGAAGCTTTATTATATTCTACGTTTTTCTCACTTTTATTTATAGCCATGCTTAAATAGCGGTTCTCTTAATCATAATACGCATCGTGTTGAATACAGGAGGTGTATATCCATCCCCGCTTTACATCATAGCCTTTATTGTTTTTCCATGTCGTACTTGTAGTTGCATCTCAAACAGTCGTATGATAACTGTAAGAGTCGCCGTTTCATAGCCGTGCAGCCCCGTACGACGGCCCTAGCCTAAGAGTACAAAAGAGGTCGGATATGTTGCGCTTGGGGAAGTCTATTGTACTCAAGGAAAATTGTTTTTCGCTTCGCTTTTGGTACATAACTATGGTTTATTCTGTTTCTCGGAAAGTTTCAAAGGCGGCTACCCGTAAACCGACCACGTAGCCAATCCTTGATTTACCAGAAGCCAATCACTCCAGGTCGGTGAGATCAATCTCTGTTTTCCCATCGAGCCTTATTGTGACTTTATACGGCTGGGAGGTGATTCTGTCTGGTGCCTGACTGTTCAGCTTCATAGATCGGCGCATAATTAAATCTGTAGGACAAGGTCAGCCAGTCTCTCTAAGCAAGAGATTTGGTTAATATACCACGAGAAACGTATCGGAATCTGAATACAGCAACCTTATGCTTGTTCGTAAGTCTTACGGACCGGGGGGTCTTGTATCCGTATCATGTGAGCTTTGCATCGGAGTGGGCAAGGGAAGCCTTACAGTGTGGTATGTGTCACATCCCGAGAGCTTTTGCTTAGCGCTTCCTGTGAGATATATGGGGAGCTTGAAGGAGAAAGATGACTCGGTTTTGGATCTTTGATCAGTTCGACCTTCCAGGTATCCACAATAATCTGAACCGACCCCATGCGCTTGACACGCCCCATATCTTCATCCACAGTCTGGCGGCTGGCATCTTCGACTACAAAGTATGAGTGAATTGCCGATGGCTCAAATTAGTAGGGACAGTACTTACTGGGCTGCACAGGAGAGAAGACAAAAGCCTCGACTTGCCCTCGTCTCTCGCTATCTCGAGATGGGACTTAGCCGCAATACTCACTACCGCCCAAATCCGACTTACGGATAGATCTCCAGTCGAATCGAGCTCCGTCAACATAAATTTGGAGTATCCGTATATCAGTTCCGTTCTTAAATGGAAAATTTGGAGAGATCCTGTATGAGATGGAGTATTTGCTTCCGCTTTGCGCTTCGATGAAGCGGCGTACAGTAGGAACTTTATGTTGCACTTGCTCGTCTTTGTGGCCAAAATCGTACTCATCAGCCTCCTTACCCTCAGTGACAATGCTCACTGAAAGTTCTGGGACCCCCTCGATGATAGCCATTGATCCAAAGGCAGTGCTAGACGGTTGTCGATGTAGGTGTGAGAAGGGCTGCCGGCTTCATACGACACAAACGTACTGCTATACCTGAACTTGAACGCGATGGCGTTAAGAGCAGAGAAGATGAGCGACGTGGATTGTGAGAGGTCTTTAAGGCGCTCGCTTACACAGCGGCAAAGGTCTACAGTACTATTCAGCGCGATGGGAGGACAAAAGACAGAGGGCAAGGAAATGATGAAATTCCCTAATGTTTTGGGGGTGCCACCTACTTATAGTCTGATCCCCGGGGAGAAGCAAGGGCCATCACACCACCCTTATTTCTATTTGGTACTCTACTGATCCGGACAATCGAGACTTATGCCTCTCATTTATTTTCTCCCATCCACCTTTCCATCATACAAAGCTCCACGAATTGGACCAAGTCTTCCAGTGTCTTGTCTAGAACTTCCTCAGGCGCAATACACGATAAAAGTTTGACTGATCATCTCGCATAAGAAGGTAGACCTTTTTGGCTTTCTAGCTGTTCTCTGATCAATTTTGCCTGACGACAATTTCGACCGAAAGATTCTAGGATCTTGACAGCGTATGTTCGTAAATTCAAATAGGCATACATCTTTACACTACAGTAATACCCCGTTCCGCTGCATACTTCATACAGTCTTCAACAAAATGTATGTACTGTACAGTATTGAGCACTGATACAGTGATGGCCGAAATCAGAGGCAACCCTAGTTTTCTAGGAACTGTTTCTGAGCATGGATCATTCAGTGTACAGTATCTCGCCTGTGTTGAAACTGTTATAGCTTGTACCACCCCCTCGTGGCCGCTATTATCGGCTTACTGTCATTAAAAGTCAGCATATTCCGTCTTATATTTTATTACCTTATGCCGGGCATCTAGAACAAGTCTTCATGCCAATACAGCATATAGTACAGTAATCCGAAGGTTTCAGGAATTCCTTATCGACGTACACAGTTTCTGAGAACTCATTCATCGACACTGTGCGGGGTAAACTCAGACTGAGAGAGTGTGTTGTAAAAGAGGAGGCTCCTCATGCACATAACTGTACATATAGTGCATTACTGTACAATAAAGATCGAAATCGGTTATCCCTTTTTCTCTATCTTTGGCTTACACCGCACGGACATTTTAGCCAAGGATATTGATTATACAGTCGCGTCGCCTTTTTCATACAGTATGAATGTACCTGCTGATAATAATCAATCGCATCCTTCACTATACCTCTATATACTTACCATTTCCTATATTATCCAGAAATAGGCTTTTTTATATTATTTTAAGACTGGCTAATACCTAATTCTATTGCCTTAATAAAATAGATGCCATCCCCTATCTAATAGATAGACTATACAGTATAAAAGCAATATTAAAGCTGCTTTACTACTATAACTCTACTTATACTATTTTTAATTATAATATAAACTTCTATATTTAGTTTAGTGTTTCCTAAAAATAAATGCTAATTAAGATAAATCCAAAATTGTAGGTCTAGAATCTCTTTGTGATGCGGTCTCTTCTGCCTGCATCACAAAGAGGACAGCACTATGCGTCTCCTTTATGTCCTATATCTTGCCAGCTGGTCAGTATGGCCCTAAATCTGGCACCTTATTAGTATACCCTAATTTACGACATGATCCTCGCCTGCCACAAGAATACCGTTATTGCCTGTATAGCTAACTGTAGGGCCAGCACAGTCCGCCAGATTCAAACCAATATATAATGCTATGGCTCGCACCTAACAGTGTCGACCGATGCCGATTACTAAGTCCCCCTATGCTGACCGCCTTATTCAATTGCCTTACTGTAAATCTATATATCGCGACAAGATGGTCAAGTTCCTTAAGAAATAGCTTAAGACTACTATTTCTGCCTCCAATATCAGCCAAGCTTTAAGGTAAGCACTATAGTCAAGAAAGACTACATAACGTATCGCAAGGGGCATAACGCCAGCCTCCATAACTACTATCCATACAAGCTATTATTCTATTAGTTCTACTAACCTATATACCTTAACGAGTCTAGGTAGGATAGATACATAAGAAGAAGATAATTTAGGTAGGCTCCAAAAGGCATAACGCTAGTGCAAATCGACCGTTTTAATCATGACCAAAGGTACCAGATCCTAATATTATGCGATTTCTAGTCTCAATCAATGGCATTAGTACTTGACTTTCCAATACAAGACCGAGGGCTCTTCAATAGGGTTAAAGTCAGGTGGGTAGGGCGGCAAATAAAAAGCTTGACGCAGTGTCTTTACATATCTTCTCGGTCACTGGTGATCGATAGAAGGATGCATTGTCCATCACAAGGACCGAATTTGGCTTAAGCCACTCACTGCAGTAATGCAACAGCTGCTCGATAAACTCTTCAAACTTTACACCATCTATGCTACCAAGGAAGATATCACAATGCAGGATTCCTTCTTGCGTGTGGGCTGTTAGCTAGTCACAGGTATTGGCTTTTATTGCCGTGGTAGCATTTCTACAAATAGAATACGGGGTCAGCATTGATTAGTGTACAAAGATGGTTACACAACTGAATTAGACATAGAATCACGTGCTGCGATACATGGATAGTTCCTCTCTATAAATCCCCAGCCTGGAACAAACATTCTTCCAACAACTAACTTGTTTGGTGATCTTTCTCCACTCTATCCAAGATGTTTTCCCCTACCTTTGTTACTCTCCCACTCCAACTCATCGTGAGAATCATTGACTCTACAGACCCATCTGATCATCTGAACATAGCCTGCACGTGTTCTTATCTGCGGCAGTGTGCTACAAAATCTCTCAATCATCACCGAGATGCGCATGAGAAATTTTCTGTTGCTTCAGACCTCGACCCATCTACTATACCGACTTTGCTACGCAGCGCCTCGGGGATCACGAGCCCTATCGACGCCTGGCATGTTCAGAATATCGAGATATGGGGATCACGATGGAACTGGAAAGAATGGAGGACTTGGGAATTGAACAAAAGTCCAGCAGCATGGCATCAGATTTCGAAACGAAGGCAGGTATTTGCGAAGTCGCCAGTCTTGGAGTGGTCGATACCGCCGTGGGAACTTACTCACTACTTGCGCATCATGCGAGAGAGACTGAGCCTGCCAGGGGATTTCGTTGACTCGGCACGTCTTGAATTTGAAAAAGGGTGTGACAGTGTGATGCAAATGTTGCTCATCGTTTTGTGCCCTCGGCTAAAAAGCTTGAAGTACATGTACAACAGACACGACAAGGTCGCATAGTGAGTAAAAGATTTGCATCACCAAGAGCTTCTGAGGATCTAACGCACGGCAGTCGTCGGAGTCTCTACTGGCTCACACCTGTCATGGGAAAGAGTTGGGTTGATGACTCTTGGCCCCCAGGGCTCTCAAAGCTGCATGATGTTGCTGTGGGTGTACGCTCGGAGACCTGGCTCGACGACGAAGATGACAAACTTTGGTACGCTCGCAGTGCTTTCAGAGGCTTCTTCAAGCTTCCTGAAATTAGTACTCTGTACTTTCGAGGGCTACGACAACAAGATCATCCCTCCATGCCGCATGATTCGGACTGGAACCTTCGCGATGGGGAATCTATTTTCGACACTTCAATTTCATCCGCCCTTCAAGCTGCTGATGAATTGCCAGCACGATGTTCTACCATCAAGCATTTGTACCTTGAATCCCCTGGCGACTATCGCGAACTAGAGTGTATAGCGGCAGCGCCCAGGGCGCTAAAATCATATACCCTTCATGGCGGTGAAATTCACTATGGTTCAGGAGGCTCACTCGAGATGCTGTTGAAGGACATGGTTGAAGAACAACGCCAATCACTCGAAAGTATTCTAGTCTACAATACTTCACGATTTGAAGAGTCTTGCTGTACATTGCGCCCGAGCGACGGGGCAGGGTATATTGAAATGCATGATTGCCCGCAACTACGTCAACTTTACATCCACTCGGATGATCTGCAGCTTCTCTACCATGAGCTTCACCGTGAGCTTCCTCCGAAAGATTCAAATACACTCCAGGGCTTTGTCGACTACATTATGGGTTTCTTGCCTGCGTCCCTGGAGCTTCTCATGCTGGGGTCTGCCAAAAACTCGGTCGCTGTAAACGTACCCGAAACACAATTCGAAGACTTTGGCTTCGGTAAATTTGAGGAGTTGAATGAGCATATTCTGATATCCGTGGTTTCGTCAAAGAGATTCCCGGCTCTCAAAGCTATTCTTGTTGAGCGAACAGAAGACAGCCATGAGTTTACCCAGCTGATTGAGGTCGGGCGGGAAAGGGGAGTTGATATCTATATCACGGCCAATGACCAAGTATTGCCACATCAGACTCGACTACCCCAGCGCCCTCGAGCTACCAGCCATCAACCTCATGGAGAGATTGATCAGGAGCCACCTAATGAGCAGCTTCAAGAAAAATTAGATGAGGGGAATGAGACTGATGACGATTGCGGCAACCTACAACTTACAGGGATGGTGGCAATGTAAGCATGAGAAACTAACTCGGTTTGAATTCAGTAGACATATGCGAGTGAGGCCTTCAAGGCTCTCATCAGGATTTTGGTTAGTTTGAAATCTCATTTGTATCCCACTAGTGTAAAGGGTATCAACAATGAAGAAGTTTTATTCTATCTGAATCAATCTTGCTGCATTCACCTGCTACTGTATGCTGGTAGAGTGCCTCTCAATTAAGCGAGCCCTCTTCTAATGTGTCGCTTTACATTCCAGCTGAGGGCTAAAAGATCTAGTAAATGTCGCCCCTGGAGATAAAGAAGGCCGTGTGTCTCAGAGTTAGAGGTTTAATGCGGCTTTAGTTGCAGGGCCCATATTTACTTAGCAGCAAATGGAACTTTATTCTTTCATTGGGCAAGTTATACTATTACTTTTGTCACTGCCTCCATACGCGGACTAGGCCAAATCTAAAAATTCTAAACTTGGCCTAAGCTTTTTCTTGACCGTCATATAGAGCGACGTCACTCATGTTATCACGCCATCTTTTAAGGCGGTACAATCATCTGCTTTCGATGGCAGGAGGGCAAAACGGTAAACGGTACGCTATACTCATCGGCAAAGGAGAAATTTCAGGCTATAACAGTCCGGCAATAGCCACAGGATCTTTATCTCGACGCAAAAGCTCTAAGCATGCAATTTCCATCCTTGGCGACTATGGAAACGGAGTGGCTAAACTTGAAACTACTTGACTTTCCTCTCTTTCCCCGAAACCTTGCATACAAGCATAGTAGCAGCCAGTTTAACTCCAACCTTACGAAAGACGCCCGACAACGTGTAGTCTTGGTGCCTAGCGCTTTCTATCGTAGTTCCCAACCCTGGATCTCAAGCTCCCAGTCTCTACCAACCAAGCCAACTAGTGCAGCTGCTCGATGAGCTATTCAAATTTTACTCTGTCTGTGATTCCAGCAAAATTACCATAATGCAGAATTCCTTCTTCTGTGCAAGCTGGAGGGATCTGGTACTGTTTTATTAAGGCCGTAAGTCAGAACTTAACCACTCTCGACATAATACTGTAACGCCCTTTCTGGATGCCATAGAAGATGGTCTGCATATAGAGATAAAGTATGGGATTGATTGTCTGCCATAGAGTAATCGCGTGGCGCTTTTTGATCACAGATGTAAGCTATTAGCAAGAGTACGTTTATACTGTATGGAAAGGGAGAAGTGACTGTGTAAGCAATACGACCTAGCTAAAATGTCCGTGCGGTATAAATCAAAGACAGAAAAAAAAGGACAACCAATTTCGATTTTCACAGTACTGTAGTTGTCTTCTTCTTTTTTTACTTACCCCTTGTTGTTCTGTATACTGTGCATGTTCGTCATTCCTCGTTTGTTTGGTAGTATCCCGGAACTTTTTCGTGTCAGCACATGCACGTAAGTAATCAATGCAGGGGAAGCACGTTCGGTCGTTTATCGAGGCAGAACCCATTGGAAAGCAGACACAGTACATGTAAGAGGGTAGGACTATTACAGTAAGCACCAAACTTTACCATAATATCAGATATGAGCAGTTTTTAGAACCCTATAGCTATCCAAGCTTGCCTTATGTATTTTAATGTGTCTGGTTTATATCAAACCGAAACCAGTGCCTCAGTACTGTGGACTGTAGAACTCAATTCCTTTTTTGAAAACTTTCGTCAAAATGTAGAACGATTCATGGCGCTGAGTCTCTATTACCTAGAGTATAGTATTGTACACGTGTGCCTTGCTTTTACGGTGTATTCCAAGTTCAATTACCACTTAGTAGATTGTAGGTCGTTTTCTGCACAGCAAATAGCATCATCTTAAAGGAAAGTGCATGTCTTTTTGTCGATTACCGTGTCAGCCAAGGACATCTCGATGCCAGAAAGGGTTCTGTATCATATGTCACAGTAAATAGGAAGAGTGGCCGGGTTTCACAATCCGTTATAGCGACCTAAACTCATATCCCTTGGTGGCCGAATATTGTTTTTAGTGGACATGTTTAAAATAAATGAGCTGCCATCTCCTATCTAATGCATGGTGGCTAGGAAAGGCCCCCAACTTGCGGACACCCCAAACGGCACCTGGACTACCCTTATCCCCAGTCACGTAGTTTAAGACACTCTACTCATACAGTATAGCACAATGGCCCGCAAGTCAAATTGATCCACCTTACTTCCGGAGCTTTACACCGTGTTCCGTCAGTACATGATTTTTGAAATGATCAAGGCTCTTGAGAAAGTCGCCCTTGGGTTTGCAGGCAGGATGGTAGCAGATCCACGTAGGACGACGAGATTCGTGCCGCAGGTGGACTCTTTCAACATGGTCCATCATATGAGCGACTCTCGTGAACTTGCGGATCCGAGCCTCATGGGAAAGAGCCTCATCCCCGATACAGATCGGGCATTGGTTCCTCTCCAAAACTTGGGGGATCGCTTCGTTTTTCTCTGTCGGTGGAGAACCATCCTCGACCTGCCCTTGGGGATTAGAATCAACCCATGTGTTGACTCTCAAAGATCGTGTGGGACGAGCTATTTCCCGGCGACATGCTAGAGCGGCCATGAGATTGATCGCGGTCGCTTTTTGGGTGATGAGCTCCTCTGCTGTTAGTTGTCGGTTAGCGGCGAAGACCTGCTGCAACTGATTTCGCTCCTCCAATTGGTGCCGATTACTTGGCCTAGTGACGTGGTCGGCATCAGCGCGGGTTCCATGCAATTGCCTCTCCAATTCCCCATCGTAGAGCCTTCGGCGACAGGCGTCTCGGTATATTTTTGACATCTCATCCCTGAATCGCTTCTTGGCGCTCTTGAGCTCTCGCTGTAGCCTTCTAAGATCTGCTTGTTCTGGTGCCGGAGCGCAATGGATGTACTTGTGGTTGAACCTGATGTCCCAGTGTTTTGTCTTGACCAACTGCTCTAATTCGCGAATCTCCGGACCAGGGTCCAGTGTGTCGAGTTGTTCTTGTGGTATTCCCTTCGGAATTCTAGGGTCTCTCCTGATATTCATGTGCGTAAACAATTCCGTCAGCCCATCGTCTGACGGCTCTTCTTCGAGGAAAGCCATCTGAGTGTTCCAGCCCACTCGCGTGTTCAGATACGCATTCTGGCGGCAGCCGGTCATGGGATCGTGCCTCATGACCTGATCGATGATGGCATCAGGAGCCACATGGGTGAGCGCATCCACCAGCCCTCGTCGGAAGCAGTAGGAGGTCAAAGGGTCTTCGTAGCCGAGGGCGATGCCGACGCGGTTAAGCCAATATGCATACATCGAGTAGCGCACAGCTTCAATGTCGGACAGAGCCCAGGTCCTGGAACTGTTTCTCACCGTTCTTCGGAACACGGGGATCTTGAGCATGTGCGGCTTCCAGTGGACCTTGACAGCCTGGCAGGATAGCCTCGTACTGAAGAACGGTTCGGCTGAATCGTACCCTTCCACTAGGACAGCATCGTCCCGTATGGCCCTTGCCAGGACGTGGCTGATTGGGCACAGCATAGGAAACCTATGCTCCCGGACTAGAAATATCGTTCTGTTTGGGGGAGTGTCAGCATCTATCACCACATAGAGCTTGGTTCGTAGTTCCCTTACGGCTTGGGCTTCCTATCCACATTCTTATGAAACTTGAGAGCGACCTCCATCGCCAGCACATCCCTGCCGCCGGCTTTGGGGTCTTTCACGATCCACAGTGTCAGGTCCTCATAGCACAGCGCTTTGCTGAGCCGAACGGGGTCATCCTCCGCCTCAGCATCCCTTGCAGCGGTAGAGTCTTGCCGTCGGTCGCCTCCACCGGACATTTCTTCTGTTCCTTCTCCGCCAATCTCAGTGGCGTCTGTCTCGTAGCCTGCAAGATCACCCTCTGGCATGGGCTCGCCGTCACTATAGTCAAACTCTTGCAAAGGGTTCCCACCACCTCTCTTCTTAGTGGCGTCTGTAAGCTCGGCCGGTCGGCAGCCAGTGTAACCTTGCAGCAGGACAATCGTGGCGCAATTCAGACGATCGTCTTCAGTTTGGAAATAGGATGTCTCCCCGAACCATATCTCGACGAGCACTTTCATCATCTCTCTGATTGATGCCACCGGCTTCGAGCCCGGCTGGTTATCGAGCTCGAACTCTGTCTTCAGATTCACTGCGCAGTACTATCGAGCGTTGGGATTAGCCTCCTTCGCAGACAAAGGTGGACCCTCGCACACACGAACCTTGACGATCTCCTCGCAGTCGTTCTTGTTTATTTCCCGCCCCTCGTTGGCCCTGCGGTACAGCATCTTGAAGTCGCGCCAGTATTGGTTGAGGGTTTTGTACTTGATATTTTTCCGCCTTCTCCTGAAGAAGCTAGAGCATATCCAGTGGAGGAAAGCTTGGATGAACCCCTTGTCGCAGAGCCCGGGGCGGATGGCTGTCTGCCACAGCTGCTTCCTGACCTCAAGACAGTATCTGACCAAGCCATCATAAGCAAGACGAGCAACAGGAAAGCTCACGCCCACTGCAGGCGCGGCTCCAGGTAGATTGATTGCTTACCTCTCGAATTTCCGTCTTATATAGTATAGGTTGGCTTTCGTGTTGCCAGAGTCCAGGGGGGGGATGAATCTCGTCTGGTTGAGTGTCTGCGCCATCCTCTCGTATTCGCCCGGACTCGGCCTTCGTCGGTACTTGTCCTCCAAGATCCGAGAGCGCCTGTGATACTTCCTCGCAGCATCTTGCATGGCTCTGGACACGTCTTGATGAGCCAGCTCACCAACCGCGAAGCCGCTTGAGGTCGCCATTGGTGCCGCGGCCGACGTGGGCGCAGATCCAAGAGGTACTGGACTCCTAGCCGGGACGCGAGCGGGTTTGGATGGATCGAGAGGCCCCTCGTAGGCGTCTGGGCAGAGAGCCGCGAACACAGGCGGTGGCAGCAGAGGGGGCGGTCTGCGGATCGCGTGAGGGGATGCGGGATGGATGCCGGTGTCATCAGCAGTCTGGGGAAGGGCACACTTATGAGATGTATATAGGCGGCTGGCCACGATGGGAGGGTAGGGAGGGTAATCATCTTCTGGGCGGCGCTGACGACGACGGTCGCCGGGGCACGGCATCCCTGCAGCGGGGGCGGTGCTTACCCGCAGGCGCCGTTGTGGCCCCTGTGGGCAGCTCGCTCGTCGCTGACGGCGTGCGGCCGCCTGTCCATGCAGCAGGGGCGGGGGGGATGATGGGTGGGGGTCGTGGGCAGGCCCGCGGTTCTTGCCACCAGAGGCGGTGGCACACTACGCCAGATCTGGCGGTTAATACCGCAACACCTAGACTTTTAGCATAATAATAATGCTTTACTTTATTTACTTTAGGCTTAATAGCTGCCTTATAAATTAAATAAAGTAAGATATTAAGTTATTTATAAAGCTAGATTATTTAGTTTACTATATTATTTATTATAGTTATAATAGTAATTAGGCTATTAATATAATACTTAAATTTAATTAAATTTAAATAATAATACTATTATTATTTATTTTATTATAATTTCTATTAGACTTACTTTTATTATTACTATAGTAATATATAAACTTTATTTTAAATTATTATTTACTTATATTTAATTAATTAATTAAACCCTTTTCTCTTTTGCTATTTTCTGGCCTTATTATTAGTATTTAATATTAATTCTCTATTAACTTAAGGTTAGGGTTTATCTGCTTTAGACCTAATTATTACTGCTATCTTAAGAGAATATTATTTTAGGTAAATGGCCTATATACTGCCTATAACTGCTATATAATTTTACTAACCTTAAGTATTTATTTAGCCAGAATAATACCTAGACTAGAGACTAGGCCTTAATATAATATTAGCTAGCTATAAGTTTAGGCCTTTTATTAATAAAATTGCCTTAATTTTTAAATAATAATATATATTAATATTAATTTTAAATATAGTTTTAATTAATATTTAAAAGGGTATTAATAATTATCTTTTAAATAGTAATAATACTATAAAAGACTTAAATAAAGTATTACTTAATTTAATATATAAGCCTACTATTTTAAAAA